AAAGTTAATTCATTATTAAAAAATATTTTTATCATTTAAAAAATCTTTTTGAGAAAAATCTTCTGATTTCTTAAAAATATCTGATTTTTGAGTGCCTAAGGTTGGCAAGTAGGCATGAAGATGTAATTTCGAAGCAATTAGTAGTTATACACTACTTGAATAGGGATTAATGTATAAAGTGACAGTAGTGAAATTGAAATTATATCCAGATGTCACATTAATAAATAATGCTTTAATGATAAAAAATATGGCTAATTTTTTCTTTCTTTTTTTTTTTTTTTTCCTGAAATCCTCCAACTGGTAGATAATCAAAAATAAAAACTCAAGAAAAATTTTTCTTCTGAATAAAATAATGAAATTTCTAAAATTATTTTTTGCCCTTGATGAAAAAAAGCATAATAAATTATTCCATGAAATATGATAAACGATGTTGGTGTATAATGGAAATATGAAATGTAATCTGAAATTCAGAAAATCAGATTCCATGAAGACAGTTTAAGGTACACAATCTCTTATTCCCCTTACATTTAAGTATTTACCTAACAAACTTCATCCATATTATGAAAAACTTGATAAAATTATTAAATACATTAAGCAAAGAATATAAAACAGATCTTTATATCAATAAGCAGAATTTTTTAGTTTCCATCTTTGTAAAGGGGGTATAGATTGCTATGGAGGTCATACAATGCAAATAACTTCGTTCGTTATCTTCACAATATATGCCTAGAAATGCATAACAAGTCCAGGGAAATAATTTGAAACAGAAAACTTATGTCTGATTTCTATAAGAATGCACTATTTTGCTGCAAAATCACGAAAGAGAACAATGCTTTGAACCTATCTGTAAAAAAAGGATTTGTAAAATGAGGAAAAGTGATTGCCATGAAATTTCTACCTAGAAACAAAAATCCAGTTATAAATAGGTTTATTGATTGATTTTCAAGATAACTATATGATGAAAATTATTTTGGTAGTTGGGTAATGCTAGTAACCCATATTCTTCTGTATTATGGCAAGATTTCAAGTGTTATCTTCCTTTATTACCAGAATTTTTTCTTTCTTTCTTTTTTGGCCTTTGAGGGATTAAGCAATAATTTATTACCAAATCTTTGATTTAAAAAAAAAAAAAAAAAAAAAAAAAAACCCACCTGTTGCAACACTATAAAATAGATTCTATTTTCATTATCTGCAGTTTATAAATGAGAATTTTGGTACCAAAGTTAAAGCTATACTTAGCTTTATCATTGGTACTATATTGTGCTTTGATACTATATTGTGATTAAGTACACCAAAATGTCATTATGACTTCACAAATTAAATCTTTTCTAAAAGTAAAATCTGATAAAGTATGTTTGTTTAAACTGTTGTAAACATGTGTTCGTAATATTATTTGTATACTTTTAAATATACAGTCAAAAGTCGTTAATCCGGACTCGTCGGGACTTCGGCGATTCCGGATTATCGATTTTTCCGGATCACAGTTTGAATCTGGTAAGATGGCATGCGAAATTACAAAATTAAAAATATGAAACCGTAATTTATGAAATAAAGAACATTATGATCTAAAGGGTATCAAAATTTACAAAAAAAAAAAAAAAAAAAAAAAAACTTAATATTTATTTGGTTTACTTTATTAATATTTCTTTCAATGCGCCATGCGTAAAGCATACATTACGCAAATTAGAAAATGGCAACCAGAAAACTATTTGATGTGTACTCGTGATATTTATAATGACGAGGAATTTGATTTAAATCATATCAAAGACAGAATACATCAAGATGAAATACTACATTTAGTAAGGAATTGTAAGCTGAATAAAATAAAAAAAATCTGCCCTGAAGATAAGGATAGTGCTGACAGATCAACTTCCAGTTCATTGCACGCTGGGATGTCCCCCGCCCCCCACAGAGCGTGAAATTGATAAACAGATTTCGGAATGGTTAAGAAACAAGGGATGTGCCTTTATCCATTTTTTTCCCACAATTACACTTTTTGTTTAATGTACTTCGAAACATACTTTTGCTTTGTAGATCCTTTACATATTAGTAAATATATATAAAAAATTCTATTTGACATAATCGAAAGTTCAAGCTTATTTTTATAAAATTGCTCTAACAGTCTGCAAAAAATAATAAGCCGGATCCAATTCGAAGATTAAGGAACAACGCAATTTGCAACATTAACTGAATTAGATAATTTTAGCTTAGCTTATACCGTACATTATACATTAAACGAACAGGCGTAAACGTATTATGCGCATGTGCACATGCATATTCGCACAGCTGTAAAGGTCTTACATGCATGGTAAATGCGACGCATGCGCAGAAAATTTGAGGTCTGGATTATGGGTGTCCGAATTAACGACTTTTGACTGTAGTAATTTTTTAAGATGTTGAAATTGTAAAATACCTGGAATGAAGCATTTTCCTTGTTTGTTGGACATCTTACTTAAACTACATGCTATCCCAAATGCAGAGAAAACCACAATCATTTTATCAGTTGGAATTAATTTTTAATCTTTCTTCCAGTAATGAATTATCCTGATACATCAGTTGTCTTATTAATTAAAAATAGCCATATATCATTCAGTTCTATGTAATTAACAATTAATTAAACTCCTTAGTAGAAGGTTTGCTTAACTTTTCTGTAAAATTTATGAGGTTTTATTTGAGCTGCGACTGCTAATTAGTCAATTAACCCCAACAGATTAGTTGTTGAGTTGTGGCTCATTTTGTGTTATGTAAAGCAGATTATTGCTGTGTCTGGAGTACAAAGTAAAAGGAAAGGTTTAAATAACCTTTTTATTTAAATAGAATATAAATGCACTTTCTTGTGCTCACAAAATCAGCCACAACTCAGGGTGATGCAACTAAAGGAACAGTCATATTCAGATTAAACGTGGAATAGTACTCAAAGACTACACAGTTAAATTTTACTCTAAGCTGGCTCAATAATTCTAACTGGGGCATCAATATAAATTTTTTGGCAGTGAATAACACAAAGCCAAAGCTTGCAACTATCAAGCCTGGCAGAAACTAAATGTAGTGTGCACATGGCAGTCTTGCAAATGTAACTGATATTTAATGAAAAATTATTAATAAAAATTTATAAAGGCATTAGTTAACATAAATTACAATGTTTGGCTCGCAGAATATTGAAATTAAAATTAAATTTATGGAAATTGGAACACAATGGAAAAATTAAGTCACCTCTTGTGGAAAACATTTTTCTTTAATATGATGTATGGTCACTTCAGACTGATGTGCATACCTCACATCTTGATTTCATAGACTTTACAAAAGTGTTGATCAAGTCTTGTAAAACTGCATGCCACTCTTCTAAAAGTGCACTTTTCAGCTCCTGGGGAATCCGGGGAGGAATTTGGTGCGCTGAAATTTGGGACCGTAAGACATCCCCTATGTGTTCACCGGGTTTAAGTAGCTGAGTAGAATGGCCAATACATTCTAGTGATATCTTCTATTTGCAAGTATTCTGCAAGTTTGTGGTATTCTGACACCACATATACTTAATAAGGCCAGCATTGTCATCCACTATCAAAAACTCTGGGCCAAAAGCACCCCTAAACAGTCTTTAACTTGAAGTTCTAGTACCTTGTTCACATATCTCCGAGTGGTTACAGAACCTCCTTGAAAGATATGCAGCTCAGTGCCAACATTTATCATGATTCCTCCCCAGATCATTAAACCACAGTCACAGAAACAGGATATTTCACAGACAAGGGAAGGCCATTTGCATGTTCCTTCTTCTTACTAGATCAAAACACATCTAGAATTACTGTTCAGATTATATATGCATTCATCAGTAAACAATGTTTGGGCCTCGTCGTCTTGGTTCCATTGAACATGATGACAGCACCAGTTTTGGCCTCTTGGAAGCTGGAGTGAATGGGACACAAACCATTTTTTTTTTTTTTTTTTGCTTACAGTCTAGCCTCTCTAAGCTTATGTACAGCAGTAGAATGGCTAATGTGAGTTTCTGTGGCAGTCTGAAGATCTAAAACCAAATTTCTTGTAGTTGCTTTGCAGTTTCTTCGAGTCGACAACGACAGAAAACGGTCATCTGATGCAGTTGTTGTTCACCCTGGACCAGGCTGTCTATCAAATGATATAAATATAAAAAGTGGCTTTAAACTTTTGATATGACACTTTGAGGGATATTCAAATCTTGGGCTACTTCCATTTATGTTTGACTTCTTTGTTTTACTCATCATTTGCCTTCACTTAAATGATGCCTTTGAGCCATAACTACTGAATATTGATCACTCTCAGAAACCACATTCACTTTAAAAAACACTTCAGACTGGAATTCCAGCATGTGTCTATTTCACATCACGTTGTCAATCACAGAATTTCAATATTTCTAGCACAAATGTATGTGCAGAAGTGCAATTTTGTGTTCAATGTATTTAATTAGCATAAATAATTACAGCATTGGGCATTGGTTGCAACATTAACTTGTGAGTATATTTTTTCTCGTTATCCTTTAATTTTCATGATCAGTGTAAATAATAACCTTACAAATTTCTGGAAAAAAAATCTTTTAAAATATTTCTTACTTTTTAAAATGCTCTTCAAGCAGCTAGTTTGCTGCTCTTGGAAGGAGCGATGCATTTTTGTGGTAACTCTGTTTAAAAAAGAAAAAAAATTAATCAAAAGGTTATTCTGTGAAAAGCATTTGTACAAGAAGATATGATTTCTCTGCTTCTAAAAATATTAAATCCACATAAATTAACTCTGTAAATTAATATGAGTAGGTCGCATTTTTTTTAATATTTGAAATTAGTAAATATAAATTTAATTAAAAAATAAACAACTTTGAATTTTTTATAATGTGTATATTGAAATATATATCAATCATGTTTTAAACATTCAGATTCCCCCCCCCTCCTGAAATGTAAGCACATATCATAGAAAGAATACCTTTGTAGATATAGCAGTTATTTTACTTATTTAATAAAGCTTATTACTTATCTTAGGATCTTATTCAGTATGAATTGGAAGAGAACTCTGATCGTATCATCAATGGAGTTTTGTTCTTTAAAAAAACCAGGTGAGTTTGTGATAATATTTTGAAATAATTATATTGTAAGTTTCTTTACACAGCACAACTTTTTAGCCTATAATTTACCTTATCTTTTTCTAATAGACTGAGACTTATAGATATAAATGCACACTTCTTTAGGGAAATTGTAAATTTTATAGCTGTAATTAAATGTTTTCATTAAACTTAGTTAAAGTAAAATTGAGTTAAAATTTACATACTTTCTGAGATTTAAGTACATAAGTTCTTAAAGTTCAATTACTATAATATGTTTCTGATGTTTTATTCTTCATATGATAAAATGTTTCATATTTTATTGTAGTCAGTTTCTCTGTGTCCTTTTTTGTTTTCGTTTTCGGATACTGAAAACATTTTGCATTCCTAATGCTATTAAACAGATGAAAGTTGAAAGAAATAAAGAAATAGCATAGCTATTTCAAAGTTTTTTTTACTCTTACACTCTTAAATCATACTTAGCATACACTCTTAAACCCTATGTCGAAGACTAATTAGCGAATTCTCGCTATGTCTTTAAGAATAAATACTGCAGGTGAAAGGTTTAAAATAACCTTTTTATTTAAATCTAAATTAAAACAAATGCAAACACTTCGTGCTCGCAAATCACCACAGCTTTTGGCTACGTAGCAGAAAATAAGAATGTAACAATTCAATGGTAAATTAAGGTAATGTAATGACTAGCTCCTTAGCTTAACTGATGCTAAATCGACTGTACACAGCAAAGCCGAGCCAAAAAATATCGCAATAAACTGGAAGGTGTCGAACACTGAACTAGAGAGCTAATTTTAAACTCGCAATAGCTGCCTACGAACGCTGTAACTAGCAGCTTTAATTAAACTCGCAGCATAACATTAACAAGGCCGCTACTACTACTTTTGAATTCTTGAAATGCAGCTTAAATACTGCTTCTGAAATACGTTTAAAATTTACCGTATATACTCGTGTATAAGTCGACCCCTCACTTCGACATAAAAAATTCGTAGAAAATAAGAAACCCGCCTATAAGTCGACCCCCCATTTCCGAATCGATCGAGAACTTCAAAAATTTTTTTTAAGTACTACATTTATTCAAAATCATCTGAGGAAAAAAATAAATATAAGATAAAAAATATCTTGGTAATAAACAAATCAAAATCCTTCATGTCCGATTCATGGTCAGATTCGCCAAACATTTCATCGAACCTTCTGTCGTATTGGCTCGTCATCATATATATTTTCAGTCTTGAACTTTGTATGTTACAATCACTACTAGAGCCTTCGTCGTCATTTTCCCTTTCAAAAAGAGCATCATCTTCCGTACCGTCTATTCGTTGCTAACCACTTTTTAAATGATTTTATAATCATTTTAGAGGGTATTTCGTTCCAAGCATCTTTAACCCACTGAGCAATTAATGTATATCGGGCTTTTTAATGTTGCCTCCTTTGTAAATGTTGGTGGACCGAACTAATCCACTCTGCCCATATTTTCTAACATTTATTTTGAAGGGCTATTGAGGCAGACATCTAGGGGTTTAATACGATGTTAATCCTCCCCTCCCGGAATTTGCCACAGTCCATTTTTAGGTGTTTTGTCACTTTTGTCATTTCTTCAGAAAATTGTCCACGAAAAGAATCGTATACTAAAAGCGAAGGTTTTTTGAAAGCTGCTCCCGGTCTTTTATCCCACACATTTTTAAGCCAATCGACTGTTCCGTCAGCATCCATCCATCCTTTTTCATGGGCTCGAACCAGCACACCTGATGGAAACACAATTAAGGTAATGTAATTCAAACTTTACCGAAAATTAAAAAAAAAACTTTAGAAAAAGAAAAACTTTACCGAAAATTGTTTTTCGGTAAAGTTTTTCTTTTAAAAATGATCAACGGACGATCTTTAAAAATGACTATCTGCATTTCTTTTTTCTTGGTATGTTGGCGAAACTTCTTTATTGCTCGATATTGATCGGTTGTTCGAGGGCCGAAAATTCTTTGGTTTAATCGAAACGTACTCTAGTTGAAGTATTAAACTCTGTGATTAGTTCGTCACTAATTTAGTCATGAAATTACTTCAAGTAATGATTTATTTGATAATTCGTCAATTGAGCGCAGGAAGAAAACACGCATTATAAAAAATTTTTGAACTTCCGATTCTTTAAATTTTTTATGGCCCCACGTATAAGTCGACCCCCCCCCCACTTCGAAGTCTTTTTTTTGTCCAAAATATCTTGACTTATACGCGGGTATATACTTATACGCGGGTATATTATCTATGCCATACAAAATTAACATGAAATCAGGAGAATGGAAAAGTCAAACTAAAAATAACTGGTTCGAATAACCTTAATCGAGCAGTTCAACAATTTGCAGCAACAAATGAAATGGCACAGTAATCGTGCCTGTTCCGGAACATTTACATCTTTTATATTATTGCAGTAAAGAAACAGCAGGATCTCAATTGATTTTCATTTGGGTCTTTTTTTTCTTTAACCATGTTCAACCTCCTTCTTCTCCTTTTTTAAGTTTATACAGTATAAAGTCCGTAATCCAGACATCCATTATCCGGAATGATCTATACTCTGGACCTGAAAGTCACAAACTTTTTTTTTGGTATGCTTTATGCATGCACGTTTAACGTATAACGGATGGTGTAAGCTAGGCTAAAATTATCTTTACTGATTCTAAGGCATTTCAGTTAATGTTGCAGATTGCGCTGTTCCATAATCTTCAAATTGGATCCGGCTTATTATATTTTGCAGATTGTTAGAGCAATTATATAAAAATTAAGCTTGAACTTTCGATTATGTCAAAAAGAGTTTCCAATTCTGGAGCTGCCAAAGGATCTGCAAAGCGAAAGCATGTTGTGATGTCCATCAAACGAAAAGTGGAATTGCTGCAAAAAATGGATAAAGGCATATCCGTCTCAAAATTATGCAAGGATTATGACGTTGAAAAGTCAACTGTATATGACATAAGCAAAAAGAAAAAGGAACTTTTTGAATTTTTTTGTGGATTCCGACACCCCACTTGCAATGAATAACAGAAAAAGGGTTTGTTTTGCTAAGTGACGATCATGACAAAGTGATGATTGAATGGGTCAGACAGCGTCACAGCGAGGGTGTGCTATTGACAGGTCCAATGCTAATGGGGCAAGCCAAAAATATTTCATGAAGAAATAAACTTAAACACTGAGTGCCATATTCGACAGGTTGGTTTACCAAATTAAAAAAATCGCCATGGTACAGACAATTAAAATTCAGGTGAAAAGCTTCAGCGAACTGAAGCCTCTGACAATTTGCAGATGAATTCATTGAACTCATTACTAGTGAACATTATCTCCGAACAAATTTACAACACTGATAAAACTGGCCTTTTCTGGCAATTTGTACCGCAAAATACCTCGGAACCTCTACAGGAAAGGCTCCACTGGTGTCAAAATTTCAAAGCAAGACTAAATGTTAGCGTGCGCATGCTCAGGAACGCCAAGTGCAAACTTTTTGTAATCGGAACACATCACCCCTCAGCATTTAAAGGAGTAACGATTTCCCCGTTATATATCACGCAAATAAAAAGCATGGATGAACAAGCTTGATGAATGATTGGTTTGAAAATCATTTTATACCCGCGGCTCAGTGACATTTGAATTCGTTTGGTTTACCTGATGACTCAAAAATAGTCCTGATTGTTGACAACTGTTCGGCGCATACTTCACTTAAGGTTTTAGTGAAAGATAATGTATCCATATTATTCTTCTCTCCAAATTGTACGTCTATCATTCAGCCTATGGATATGGGAATAGTGCACGTGCTGAAATGCAAATATAAAGTAGCATTTTTAAAAATTTATGTTAAATTTCTTGAATAATGGCAAGACTATTCAAGACTTTTTGAAATTTTTTAGCATAAAATCTGCTGTGTGGAGCATTGCAAGATCGTGGGAGGATGTGTCTCCAGATACGTTAAAAAATGCTTGTCATAACTTGTGGCCAACTACCATATTTCATGATGAGGATTATGAAGATGATAGCTGCAAATTTGAAGGTTTTCGGACATTGCAAATTAAAGGTGAAATTTTCCAGTTATTGGATTTTATAAAGAAATGTGGAGAAATGTGTGAAATATAAATGAAGATGATATAACAGAAGTTTTTCATTGCGAGGACAATGCCCCAATCATCAATCATCAATTAACAGACGGCGAAATCTGTAGTATGGTTCTAGATCCAGAAAATACCGCTTCCAATAGTAAAGAAAGTGACATAGAGGTTATTGAAAATGAAAAAATTTCGATTGACAAGTTAGTCGGTATTCTCGACACAGCAATTACAGGACTTGAACAGTGGAACTTTTTTTTAGTCATATCCGAATTTCTGACTGCATCGTTAACTAGTTTCTGGATATCTGCTATCTTAAATTCCTCTTAAACAAAAAAAGAGTTTATCTAGAGCCATAAATAATTTTCTGTGAAGAAATAATTCAGCTGGCATCTTCCTGCTAGTGTGATCTTTTTGCTGTCCTCAGGGTAAATGCAAGTTCATTAATGCAACTATTCCAGCGCTTATGATAATATTTTGCATGACTGTGAATAATTTACATAGCTGTGAATTGGTCAATCCCCGTTAATTCATTAGGGAAAGTAATTTTTATGTTATTAGATTGTAGAGTATTTAGGTTAATTGGAAGCAGAAAAGATGAAAAATATGCAACCGCCTTCGCCGGGAATCCAACCACGGACCTCTGGAATACCGGCCCAGCGTGCTACCGTTACACCATGAAGGTACGTTAGGGAAGTGGGAGAAATACCTTATAAGATACCCGGCCAAACTACAATTAATATCATTAACTAACTGGCTGATTTTGCATGTCTTAACATAATTCATAATAATCTTTATAATAGGCATCATATTATAATATTCAGGGTGATCAGGATCTTTTAAATATGCATAAATATTTTTAAAATTTTGGGTCTATTTGAAACTAAGAAATAATTGTCTCACAAGGATGTAAAATGCTTAAAGCAAAATTTAAACTCACATTGAATTCATTCCCTTTGTCATCTAATTTTATTTTCTATAGAGCTTCTGCAACAGCATTTTCTTTCTCGGGAGTATGTTTAATTGTTAAGTTGTATTCTAGTAGTTAAAAAGCCCGTCTTATGAGTCTTGGTGGTAAATTCTTCCCGGAATACAAATGAACGCCAGCAGCATGATCTATGTAAATATTTATTGATGATTTCCTAAAAGAAATTTGAAATTTCTAAACTGTCAAAAGAACTGCTAACTTTCTCTTTCTGTAGTGATATAATTCTTTTGTGTTGTATTAAGTGTCTTTCTAATTATATAACTGGCTCTAACAGCATCAGTAAATTCCATGGAAGACCACAGGCTTCCATGGAATTTACAGGTGCATAACTGTCTTGCTTAAGCATGGATTCTAGCACAAAATCTGTACACCTGTGGAGATTTCTAACTTCCTGTGGGTGTCATAGAATTTTAATACTGGTCCTTGGATTAAAGCAGTTTTTAGTCTTTAGTCTTTTGTCTGTATTTGCTTCAGTTGACTAGGTAAACCTGGCTTTCCTTCTTTTTAAGTTCAATAGTGGTTGCGCTGTGTGAGCAAAATCATTGATAAAAGTCCTATGATAGGACTACAAATCCTGAAATGAGGTGAACTTCTTCACTGTAATAGGTAGAGGGTAATCTTTTATTGCAATTATTTTTAAACCTTTTGTCTCTATCCCATTCGAGATATCTTACAGCTTAAGTAGTGAATTTTTTTGGTTACATTTATTTTTAACCTTGCTTCCTTAAAAAACGAAAACACTTCATGTGAACCTTGAATATATTTGTCTATAGTCCCGCTAGTAACAATAATGCCGTCTAAATAAATAAACGTGCTTTTCCCAAGGACAGGTCTTAAGATGTCCATAGCCCTTTGAAACATGGTGGGTCCACTGCGTAATCTAAATGGCATTCTCAGAAAGGCATAAATGCCTGATTTGGTAATAAACATGGTTTTGGGCTCATCCTCTGGTTTCACACATATTTAAAAATATCCAGAGAGGATATATAACGTTGTCATGTATTTTGTGGATCTGAGAGAGTTTTTTCTCTTTCTGGGGTGATTGTAGTCTTCTTTATTTCAATACCCCTTATTAGTTTAAATTTTTACTACCTTCTTCCCTCTTTTGTATCTTGGCGATCACTATTTGTGAATGAAAATTTCTTCTTCTTCTTCTTTTTTTTTTTTTTTTTTATCAAACTGCTTACTGCTGTCAGACCATGGGGTTCCTTGTTTTATAGGTAAGTGAAAATACAAGATAGAAAAACATTCTATCTTGCAACTTCAAAACCTCAACTACTCTCAGACTGAACTGATTTGCATTCTGGTAGTTAAGTAGAAAAGAGAAGCGACAGTAATAGCTAAAATTATAAATAACTGGTTACGCAAAATAATAGTAACCATACAATCTTAATAACATTCTCTAAATATAGTTAAAAAAATCTTAAATTTTTTTATTTACTTTGCTAAATCAAATTATTAAAATTAAAATTCTAATATTGTAAAATTATTTTTTTGTTCAACAATAATGTTGCATTTTAAAAATTCAATATAGTAAGAAAAATATCAAATTCTAATGTAAATTCATTTATGGAAAGTAAAAGTGAAAATTTTCTTGTATCCACACTTCCAAGCAGAATTTTCAATCCTGTGCCAGTGAAAAAAATGTGACCTAATTTATTTGCTGAAGAGTTGAGCAAAGCTGTATATAACGCACAGATCAATGACCTTCAAAGTACTTTAGAACATTGCTAAATCTCTTTCACTTTATAAATACTATGCTTCATTATGTTTTGAAGCACTGGTAGGTTACGTGATGGTATGTTAAAAGCCACATCAGTACAATGATAGAAATTTGTTTTTTCACTTCTTGGTACTAGATATTAGAACTTTTGATTGTAGGAATATGTCCACAAATGATCAGCAGAGCAGAAGTTAAGCAGGCATTTATTTCAATTGTTAGATAAATAAATCTTGAAGAGCTGGGTGAATGACTTTTCCATTGGAAGTGCCCACACATTTGAGATATCCTGTCAACTTTAATAAAAATGTGTTGATTTTGGAATGACACAGATAGATTTTTAAAACATGTATAAATGATCTGTACTGAAGAATAAACTTGGAAATAATATAGATACAATAAGATGCAGTCGTATCAGATTTAAATCATGTTATTTTATTGTAGCTAAATTTTCAGTTAGAAATTGTCACACTAAATATTTCTGTTTCAAAACATTAATATTTTTTATACTGTTGTGATAGGAAGAAAGCAGCACGGCAGTGTCTTAGTGGCAACAGAAGTAGAAACAAAGTGCATTGTGTTCAGGACAAAATCTTAATTAAGAGTGGGTTAGACTTCATTTTGAATGGATAATTAATAAAGCTCTAAAATTATTATTGGTTAAAGGCTTATTATCATCAGAATACTGGAAAGTTTATTATAATCAATTGCTGTTTTTAGAATGGAAAGGGGAAATGCGCAAATTAAAATGAAGAATTAAGGAGCCATTGCTAATTTAAGTAAATATTTTGTTTTACCTAATTTTTGTCTTACAGATATAAGATTTAGGAACATTAATTTTAGTTTTACTTTTTGAAAAATAAAACTTTTTGATTACTTATATTTTACAGTTTTTTCCTTCGTGAATATAGTATATTATGAAATAAGTAATTTTTAAAAATATTAATTGTTTTTAAATTTTTTTATGAACTTGTATTGATGTTTTAAATACTTTTTATTATTCTTAAAACTGCTTCATTGCTTACAGCCAAGCATCTTTAGATTTGTTGAAAAAGTCTGTGGAAGAAAGCCAGTTTGATTTTGTGAATAAACTGAGCAAGTTACTTGTAAGTGTAATAATACCAATCATTTATTATTTTATATAGTTATTACTTTTGCTTCAGTTATTTTAACAGAATTTAGTAATTTATTTTTAGATGCACTTTTATCATATCTATAATCACATGTACGTTTAAGGATAAAATAATATTTCAATAAAAATATTTCTTTGTATGAAAAAATAATATTTGTTTAATACAGTACAAAGTCTGAGATTTGGAATCCTTGGGACTTTGGTGATTCTTAATTTTGGAAATTTCTGGATTTTAGGTCATCACTCCTAATCTAGTAAGATGATATGTAAATATGGCAGCATTTCACTTACTGTTTAGGTCAGATCAAAAAATTTTAACCCTCCCATGCCTGCACCAGAGCAGATGCAGCTTGTTCGGCCTAACAGTGTGTTAGAACTTAGAGGCAGCAAAAATTTCATAATTTGGACAGCACCAAGCAACAAAAATTAGGGATGATAGAAATTTTAGAATTTGGGAGAAGCACTGCACAGAAGAATTAAAAGGCTGCAGACTGTTTAGAATTTAGGAAGGTACCAAATAGCAAAATTTAGGGCTTAGAGAGATTGCATTGGGCATCAAAATGTGTATCACTGGCCCCATTCTAGGGCTGAAAGTATGACCTTGGCCACCATCAATGCAATGTCAATCGCTACACTACTTTTGGCCATGGTGCAACTCCCTGTCCAGCAGGTGTTTAAAGCAACATGCAGGAATCTCCACTTAGTCTGGAGAAAAATCACATTTATGGTGCACCTGTTTCTTGTTGTTTTTATATCTCCATTTATAGACTTTATAAGGGATATCCTGATTTTGAACTTTGTACTACGTAGAATATATAAATCAATTTAACAAAACATTATACGCAGGCCCTGGCTCCAGCATTTCAATGCTTTGGGTGATTAGTACAGTCATGCTCCATGTATTATTTCAAAAGGAAATATATCTTTACTTAATTACTGTTAGTGAGAGCAACTTTGTTGGTACCTGGTGACCTATATAGGCAGTTGCCTATATTACTTAAGCTGGAAGCCAGCTTTGATTTAATCCTATTTTGTGACTTTTCTATATGAATTTTCATGTAAGCTTAATGTGAAAAGTCGCAGGTGAAAAATCAAGTTGTAGAAATTGTAGATTCGAGCTAACATTCAGCAGGTAACTCTATTGTTTATAAGAGTTGTTCTCTTTTCTGTGTATTTAGCTCTTTTTGTGGTTTCTTGCTATTTCGTTTTTAAAGAATTCATATTTAAAATATGAAATAATCTGCTGCAATTTTTTATGCTTTTTTGTGATTATATAAAGTGATGCAAATTAAATTCATAGTATGCTTATATGGCTTTTCATAGTATATGGATATGGCTGTCCTGTATTGCTTACTAAATTTGGTGAAAATTGTGTTTGTAGGAAAATTATAACAATTTTACTTACTGTCCTTGATGGAAACTAACATACTTTCATTTGTCATCTTGTTTATAACTTTGCAATTTATTTTTACATAAAATTTGGCACATATAAATCTGTTGAATAAATTTTATAAGCTTTTGAAAATGTTTTAAGTATTTTTTTTCAGATTTTGTGCTTCTTTATCAATATATTTTTGTTATTATTAATCAGGTTTTGGTCTTGATCAATATTTCTTTTGAAAAGTATGTTGTAATTGGATTGCGGTTTTTGAAGATAAGTTTTGTTTGCTTTCAGTATTTATGCCAATTCAAAAGCAGAGTCAAAAATTAATTATTAAAGTAGTAATGACACATATCTCCCTCCCTTTAAACATACTTTGAGATTCATTCAAACTGGTGATTAGCTATTCATAAATCAACACTGTTTATCGTACAGTTTATGTGTATTCTAAGTATTAATTCCTATAACCATAAAGACTAACAGATAATTTATGCCTGCATTTTACTTCTGAAATAACAGTAAAATTAAATTAGCTAAAAGATTAAAATAAATCTTTTGATTTACTTGCCAGCCCGATGGTTGCATAAGCTAGTCAGTAACAGAAAATGCAAAATCTGTAAGTTGTGGGAAATTTAGAACAAATCCTAAAATGAAATTAAAGTAACTCTTACCTATTAATTTTTGACTCAGCCTTCAGTTTTTCATGAAGCAATTATGCCAAGTAAAGCTAAGCCTGGCTTATGTAATCCAAATCAGTAGTTAGAAGTTGTAAAATAACTGGCCAGTGACAGCTGTCAAAGATTCTCATCTGAACTCAAGAACTCTGCATTTAAATGCATTAACTGATTTGCATCCTGGTGGGAACTGATAAAAATAGAAATGAAAATATGGACAACATAAGCTAGCTGATTAATTAGCATAAAACCAGATCAGTATATTTGTATAACTGAGTATTATTTTCTTCCTGTTTTCCTTTTGAATTGAATCTGAATTTAGTTCTGATTTTCATCTTATAATTTTCTAATTTCAGGATGTTGATCATATGCAGTGCTATGAGCTGTTTGTTTCATATATCACTTATGAATATAAGGGCACACAGAAATCATTTGAGGTATGAAAATATTATAACAATTAATAAACTAGTGTGCAAAACTTAAGCAACTTTTCTGATTTTGGCCATAATTTTACAAAAATTATCTGCGAAACATGAAATTCTTACTACAGAGGCACAATGCAGTACTTAAAGGAGGATGAAAATGTAGTAGCATAAAAAATTAATAGGATGTATACAGCATGGAATAAATAAAAAAAAAAAGCTTTATTGACAGAATGGCAACAGTAACCCCCCCCCCCCAAAAAAAAAAAAAAAACTGTACTAAGAGGGAGAACCACAAACCAAAAAGCCTTATTAAGAGATATAACCTCCTCTAACTGCAACAGTTGCATTGCATCGTATGTTAATACTAAACAACAGCTTATCTAACAGTTCTTGGGGTAAGAATTCCCATGCTTCTAGGAGCATCTGCTTTAGGTGTCTGATGTTCTCTGGAGGGTAAGATTGTGCTGCCAGGCATCTCCCTAATGTGTTACATTCCTTTTCAGTGGGAAAAGGAGCTCCTCAACAGCATGAATCCTATGTGGCCATGCATTCTCTTCTATAAAAATAAAATTGAAATGAATGGTACTCCAGAAAAGATGCACTAGTAGGAAGATAACTTCATCACAGAAATGTTCTCTGGCAAGTGAACCTCTGTCAAAAATGTGGAGCTCTATCCATCTGTTTATCATAATGCCTTGCCATACAAGCATGCTGGAACCACCCCAGCGGTCTCTTTCCCTGATGTTAATGGGATGAAAGCATGTCCCTCGCTCTCCATATCAAATGGTGCCAAGAATCGTTTGTCAAACTGTTGACTCTTATCTGTAAAGGAGAGCAGGATTCCATTGACAATGCCCTGTCTTTGGTTTTCTGTGCACCACTGTAAATTTTGCTGCCAACGGGCTGTTACCACTGATGTGCAGTGCTCAGGAAGGCAAGCATATATGTGATTTTTATGAAATCGTCTATTCACAGTAAACCAGGGCATCTATTTGGTTGCCATATGCAACTGAAGAGCAGCTTTCGCCTGCTTTCTGGTTTCAATCATTTTCGTGCAAGGCAATATATTGGTCACCAATCACCATTGTTTTCCTTGGCCAACCACTATCAAATATTCTTACAGCTGTATCTGTTATTTTCTGAGTCTGAGAAACAACACTTTTATCAGTTTGAAATTTTGTGACAGCAGATGTCAAACCATGCCCATTCTGGCCAATCATTCTACCTCTTGTGAAGGATCTTGATGTTTTTTGTAGCCATATGCATATACAGTCTCACTTTCACTTGCAGAAGAATGCCTGGAATTGTGCCTTCCTTTCATATTTTTAATTTGCCTTAGCTTGCATTTCACATTTTGTGTGCCCTGTTGTACCATCCGACATCATGGTGCTGATGTTTCCTTATGCATTACCTTTCTTCTGTACTGACTTTTCATTTACTGATCTTAAAAAGCCCTTTTTAATAATTTCATGGTTGTATGTTGAAACATGAATTTGTTTCTGAAGTTTTGCACACTTGTATATAGTTAATTTATTTAATTCATTTGAAATATGTGATAATAATTTTGAGGAGTGTAAAAATTTAGTATGTAGAATTTCATTTTTATCACTGAATCGAAAAGTAACTGATAAAACTGATTTTCACATACAAAGTATGATACAATTTTATTTAAATGTGAACGTCATTCAAACTTTTTTCTGTTGTTCAGAAAAAGTAAAGTTTAAAAACTTACAGAAATAGTATTATCTATTTTTCACTTGTATTATCTATGCTGTATTTTGTATTTTAAGTGTGATTTTATGCTATTTTATATTGTCATCTTAATGTTGTAATTAATATTAATTAAAAAATTACTTCCTGATGTTTCACAACTCTTATTATTATTACTTATTCATAGTGTCTTAAGTGCTAGTGTCTTAAGTTCTAGTTCCTAGTGTCTAGTGCATCTTAGAAGCCACTGGAATGATCTCATGAGTAATGAGTAGGATCTAGGAACATGCTTTTTGTTGGTGAAAACCTTAAGCATCTCTAATGACTGAATGACCTTGTCTGCATTCACTTTATTTTGATTGAAAACACTGAAGTATGGAACTTAAAAATCGTGTGCCCCCCACTAGTCTCTTAAGAGGTCTTTTATATGATCAGATTTTAAGAGGCCCATTCAGCGAAGACACAAATGGCAATAGATTATTAAGGATCCAAAATGGAGTGCTATTATAGCAATTGGCCTTAGCTAATCACAGTCTCTAGAGCAACTTGGTTATGAAAGTAGATGTTACTGTGATTTGAATTGAAATATTTAGTGTATTTCTGTTTGGATATTTAAAATTACCAGTTTGAGTTCTTTTTGATTATGTGCTCTCTACCTCCAGAAGAATATTCCTAAGGCAGCAAAATGTATCACCAAAATAGGCAACCCATGATATCACCAAAGTGTATTTACGTGGCAACCCAGGTATGCACACATGCAGCCCATGAGTACAGCTTTTCACCTTTAAAATATGATGATCATTTTTATGATTAGTGTTTGGTTTTCTACATTTTTACATTTTTCCCCCTTCTGTAATAAATTAAGGGGACTATGAACTTTTCCAGCTGATAAAAAAAGAAGTGTTTCATTTCTTTATAAATATGGCATTTAGCCCAATCTTAGATTATGCAAAAATTTGCATTCCATGGAGTTGTATTTCTTAAACATCTAAATTTCATGGATTGAAATTTGTGCACAATGCTGAATTTGTGCAATTCTCTGTTGTTTTTTAAGTGAAAACAGATTGCTTTGTTGGGGCAAACAACAGTGAAAAAAATTTACCTTGGAATTTCTTGAAAAAGGTAAGTGTTTTATTATGGATGTTTTCTTGCTTTTTTAATTTTATCGAGTCATTGCTTTTTTGTGCCATTTTCAAAATGGCTGTTGCCTTTTGCATGTAAGCTTGGTAAAAGATTGGTCTCTATAATTTTGCGACATTTTGGAAAGAAGTGTGAATAATCTGTTGTCTGGGAATAATCTGCTGTCTAGAGCAACTTGGTTATGAAAGTAGATGTTACTGTGATTTGAATTGAAATATTTAGTGTATTTCTGTTTGGATATTTAAAATTACCAGTTTGAGTTCTTTTTGATTATGTGCTCTCTACCTCCAGAAGAATATTCCTAAGGCAGCAAAATGTATCACCAAAATAGGCAACCCATGATACCACTTGTCTTAGAATAGTTTTCAAAGAGGAGTGTTGAAAGTCATTTATCTTTTGGAGAGGTGTGTGAATAATCAATTGTTGCTGGATTGTGTATCTATTTTGTTTATAATTAAGTCTCGCATCATAAATTAAGTCGGTATAATTTTTTTAAATATTTAATTTGAGATTAATAGAAATCTGTATTAAAGAACCAAGGTTTATGCTACTTAAATATTTTCTGTTATTACTCTAACCGCATTAAGTTGTATATATATATATAAAAAAAAAAAATGCCCATTTTGAAATTAAATTGCTAGTTAGTAAATACCAAAGTAATTTCTAAAACAGACTTTCTGCAATATATATTATTAACATATTCTAGAAAGTTGCTTGTTTGGAATGTAACCTATTACAATAAGACCAAGATGGTGCTAGATTTTTGTGTTTGACATTAGAAATGTCCTAAGTAGAGTATTTCCAAACTTTTTGAACTGTTATTTTCATTTTATACTACTGTGGCAATTTTTTTTACTCGCCTTGCAAATATTGCTTGCTACTTGCATATAACATAAGATCCTTAATTTTAATTTTGAATTTAGTAACTCTGTAATTGCTTAACAAACTGAGCAATTTAAAAGCAATAAAGACATTTCTTAATAGTTAAAATCTTTATTTTTATTTTTAAGAAAATATCTCATTGATATAAATTAAAATCTGTTAAAATACATTACTGTAAGTAATAAAGCAAAGGGTGAACGGGAATTCATATAATATCAGTTTCGAAAAATTGTCTTTTACATCAATATAATATCATATAAAACTCATGCTGTTTCTCATCCATATCAATATTGAAATTTAAATATTAAAATAAGTAGCTGTAATTTTTTTAAAAAATTTACTTTACCCAGTATGTCCAGTTTTAGCTTGAATTTCTCTGGTTACTGTACTTGTCCTAGAAAAGTATTTGTTTGCTGATTTCAAAACCAAATCTAATGAGAAATATTATGCATAAGTTTCTTTAAAATGTTTCATCAATTTGAAATCAATTGGAAATTTTTATTTTGTTATTTTTTTAGGCCCTATTGCTCAGTGAACGCCATGTTCATTCTTTGATATTGGAGGTAATTCATTATTTTTTTTTATAAAAATTAATATAGTTTCATCTTTCCTTATAATTTTCTTAATTAATATATATTTAAATAATCTATTTAATTGTATATTTATTAAATACAGTCAAACCTTGCTTAACGAGCACCTCCAATAATGTGTAATTTACATAACAAGCAAAACAAAATGCAAAAATATGACTCTGTTAATGAAAAAAAATCAATCCCTTGAGTAAGTGCCTGTAATAGATAACTCTGGGCCAAGAATATGGGGCTACAGGTGGATGGTAATGACATCGATGAGCTAAAGGCAAAACCTAGCCAGGAGCCGAACATGAAGAGCATATAATGAATTACGTTATTATAAATTTGTTTAAGTATTGTTTTTTGGAATAGAAATAATCCTATTTTGCATTAATTCATGCATTCATCCTTCATGATTCTTCCTGTTTTGTATTGCAAGTAGGATTCAGGGCCCAGTTATGCTCGTTAAGCAAGGTTCCACTGCATATATATACATATATGTAAATATGTAATATAAAAAATATGTAAATTATTATTTAAACTAATGGTAACCCTTTAATTCTCCCTCTCTGTTCTAAAAATTATAATAACTTCTCTGAATTGTGTCATTTGTAGATCAGTCCATCTTGCATGCCCTGCACAATGCTGATGACATAACTCTGAGAACTGAAACCTTTGTAACTTAAACCAAAACCTTTATCTTAACAGACTGCCATATTGTTAGCTTGCAGCTCTCTTACCGCTTGGACACTGTGCTTTGTCATGCTGCTAACTACGCCATTATTTAAAATGTGATACTCTATATAAATAGTGCACGTTGTTGTTCGTGATCATGTGTAATAAAAAATATGGTTTGGATAATTAGTTCATGTCCATTAATAAAGATTATGCTCAGTTCTGCTACGTCTGCCTACAAGTTTCTCCTTCGAGTGTCATCTTTCTAATTATGCAGCATTCTGTCCAAGTTACAACGCTGAGAACCATCATCAATCCGTTGAAGCTTACTCCAAGTTTTTATCACACACACACACATATATATAATTTAAAACAATAATTAAATCTATCTGCTTTCCAAAAATCATAAAAGAAATGTGTTAACAATGTTAAGTGATACTGGAAATGGTAAACAATATAGGTGTAATTTAATTGAAATATAAATGAAAAAACCAAAAACATAAGATTTGAAAAAAATGAAATGATAGGCTAAAGAGCTAAATTTTTTTTATTAAACTTGGTTATTAATGCATAATCATATAATGCAGTTGCAATCAAATATATATGTTATGGAGTTAAAACTTCTTAAGTGGACAAACCACTTCTTGAGAAGTTTTTCTCTATTATTAATCATTTACCATAATGGGCATACTTTACACCCATTCTTCATCACATTTATGCCGTATTACATTATGATGATTGAAAAGATTACATTATGACGACAACATGGTAACTAAATAGAAAGTAAAGCGGGAATATATGAGGCATTCAAAAGGAAGGCCTGGGAAAAAGTAAAAAGTTTATGTTTTTAAAATGGTTTGGTTTGCTTTTCCACTATTGATTAAGTATTTATGTAAGTAGCTGTTGGTATGCTGTGATGAACAGTCGGCAATAGCACAGTAAATAATATAACCTAGGTACGCTACAGAACAGTTAACTGAGCAATGTGTTCTTCCTTCTTCTCACTCCTTCATGTAAGGACAAGGTTAAAACTCTCACAATAACTAACTATTGAATGTTCTCTTGATATATATTATGAAAACTCTAATGAATCTTATTAAATTATTATTATGTATAAAATAAATGTATTCGTTTGCAATTTTCATGTACAACCTCCTTTTGGATTTCTTCTTTTACTACAGGGTTCATACAGTCCTTAAAACTCCTTGGGTTTTTTGGAATTGATTTTTGGTTCTTAAAAGTCCTTAATTTCGCCCAAAATCGCAAAAGGTCCTTAATTTTAATCATCTAAAATTTCTCTCTGTTTTTACAACTGCCATTTTGAGTGCGAATAAGCATTTTGGAGGAATATTTTCAGCGATTCACTGACAAATATGGTTATTTTTTGAATGAGTTTATGGGTTATAATTCGTTCCTATTTCTAATACAAACAGTGCGATATTTGAATTTTTGGGCAAGAAATAAAAGTTAAGCATTTTGAACTAATTTCATTTTCTCTAATGAAGAGCTGTTAAACAAATTTTCCCTTTTGCAGATGTAAATTCTTTTGTTAAACGATTCTAAATTTGGTGATTTATCAACATTTTTGCCCATTTTAAGATTAGATAGGCTATTCCATAGATTATTTTTCATTCTGAGATATGTGAATTTTTCGATGATTTTTTTAGAATATTATAATATTAATAAATTTCTTCAGAATAATGATAATATTCGTCTGGCTTTTAAATGTACCGGAAAATTGGCTGAAGGGAACCAAACGTTAAATTTAAAAACTGCGTAGAATTTTACTCTGCAGAACAACTTCATAAAAAAAAGTTATTACGTATAACAAAATTACAATGAAATAAGCAATATCCCTTAATACAAATATTAATTATCCTAATAAATAAATTAATCAACTTCCCTTTGCAAAATCTTAAGAACTCAAATGGTATAAAGGAGGTTAATTTTGTTTCCTAAAAAAATCATCACTCAAAACTTTTCAATATCTTAAAAACAGTGAAATGAGCAATAAATAACATAAAAGAATACAAAAAACAAAAAATTCTGAAAAGCAAAGTATAATTAATGATATTTTATCTTATGTTTTCAAGAGAAAAAAATTTACAATTAAATAAGCTATATCCCTTAATACAAATAATAATTATCCTAATAAAAAATTTAACCAACTTTCCGTTGAAGAAAAAAAGATCATGCAAAACTTTTCAATATCTTACAAACAGTGAAATAAGCAAAAAATAATATGAAAGCAACTCAAAAAACATAAAATTCCGCGCAGAATTTTACTCTGCAGAACAACTTTATCAAGCAAAAATCAATAAAAATGTATTATATATATATATATATATATATATATATAAATGACAATGAAATATGCCAATCTCTTAAAAACAGTGACATAAGAAATACGATGAAAAATTGTTGCAAAACCCATATTACTAAAAGAATGAAACTATTCAAAATGATGCAGTTTCATCAAAAATCTATCAACTGCAGTTTCATCAAAAATCTATCAACAACAGTAAGACAGGAAAAGTGTTGTCAAAATCACATTTTTAAAGATGTGAGATATGAGAAATGTACTCGGAAGCTTCATTTAAAAAAATTTTTAAAAATACAAAATATTATCATTTTCCCAAAATTCTTTTTGTAAAAGCAGTCACAAGGATAAAAGTTTAACGTGTCCAAAATTCAAAGAAAAATGAGCTATACATTTTTAAAAATAAACGTTTTTAGAAAAAATCACGTTGAAAAGGTCTTAAGCTCTTTTTGTTAAATAAATTCGTATTTAATTGATTTATTGAAACACAAAATTTATTTTAAGTTCGTAAAATAGCTAAGTGCCTACGTTTCATGACGATGTGAAAACGGAGTGTGTAGAGTAAAATCTTGCCTTTCTATAGTCCATTATGTCTCAAAATGATGCGATTTCGTCACAAAACATAAAATAAAAAAAATTTTAATTCGAATTTCGAAAAAATTGCTTCGAGGTGCACTGGCTCTTGTCTAGATGCACCTATGTACCAAATTTCGTAGCCGTGGGTCTATTAGCTTACGCGCAACACGAACAACAGACACACACACACACACACAGACAGACTCTTTCTTTTATTATATGTAGAGATACTAGAAGTTATTTTTTGAACCTGTTTATCTTCCCTTTATTTTTCTGTCCTTTTCACTAGGCACAAATATAAAAATAATTCATGGTAAACATGAAACTACTGCTAAAGGCAACTGGGATAAACTCAGACAGGTGCACAAAAGGTCTAATCTCTCAAGTAAACTATTTTTTTTTTTTTACAAAAGCTTTACAGTTTGAAGCTTGAGGAAAATGGAAATATGCTAACTCATGTAAATACTGGTGTTAGTCGATAAGCTTAAAGTAATAGGTGAGGACATAAAGGATAATCATATTTCAGCACTTTTGCTTTGTTTTGCTTTTGCCTAGTTCTTACGATACACTGATAACTGCTCTAGAAGTGAGATCAAAAACAGAACTAACCCCAGAATTCATAAAGGGAAAATTATTTGAGAAATTTAATAAGAGAGTGAAAATAATTCATCAGATTCAAAGGCATTTAAAGCCTCATTTCTAAATAAAACAAAGAAAAGTTTTCCTCATATTGTGACAAAAATAATCAGTGTTTTCATCTAAAATCGAGACCCAAAAAAAAAAAAAAATAAAAATAAATAAATAAATAAATAAATAAATAAATAAATAAAAATAAAAATAAAAAATAAAAGAACCATGAAAAAACTTGAAGAAAGGCAGATTCTAAAAATCGCCAAGCAAAGAATGCGTGTAAACTCGGGATGAATCAAGAAGAAACAAAAAATAAAACACTGGAAATTGCATCCAGGTGTAGTTCAATCAGCAGAGAGATTTGCTTTTGATGGTGGTGCAAGTAATCAGTTAGCAAATAATAAAAAATATTTCACGGAGTTTGAAGCCATAAATCTGTCAGACATCATAATTGCGAATGGGCAAAGCCTTAAATCTAAAGGAATAGGAATTGTCCGTTTTAAAACATTAAATGCTAAACAAAAAATAAGTGAAGTTCTTTCATCGGAGGTTTTATATGTTCCTGGATTAGAAACAAATTTAATTTCAGTTAAGAAAATAATGCAAAAGGGACTTTGAGTTCTGTTTGAAGGAAATAAATGTATGATCATGAAAGGAGATCAAATTATTCTAGAATGTCATGCAACTAACAATCTTTATATAAATAAACCAATCCACAGGAATAATGAACCATTAGTTCGCCTAGCATTTCAGTGTAAAAATTAAAACTGTGTTTTACTTTGGCATAGATACCTTGGTCACAAAGACAATGATGCAATCAAACAACTTGTAAACACTTGAACTCATTCACACTGATGTTTTAGGACCATACAAACACAGTCTGTCAATGATTACCTATACTTTGTAACTTTTATTGATGATTACAGTAGGTTTACAATGATTTACCTAATGAAAGAAAAAAATAATATCTAAACTAAAACAATTTATTGCTCTTACAAACAATAAATTCGGGACATTTGGGTACAAAGCTTTTGCTTACATCCATAAATTTAAAAGGGACAAACTGGATGATACTGCTATAGAAGGAATACTTGTCGGCTATGACAGCAGAAGTAAAGGCTACTGAATTTTAATTCCTGGAGACATAGTCATAAGAAGTTGACTTGTCTGATTTATTGAAGACACTGGAACTAATGAGCCCATAAGCATCTCTTTCAACCAGGATAAAGAAAATCCTAAGGAAGAAAGCTCAGAACGAGAAGAAATAAAAATGAAGAAATTTCAGAACAAGAAGAAATAAAAATCGAAGAGCCTGAAAAACAAGAAATATCAGAATCCGACGAAGAATCTTTAGAACTCTGAAGATTGAATAGAAACAGAAAAGGAAAACCTCCTGATTACTATGGATATCATGCAAAATATCCATTCTGTCTAGAAGCCAAAATCTGGAAGGAAATCCAAACTGGAAGAAAATGAGAAAAAGAAAATGGCTCACAGCTGTTCGAGAAGAAATGAATTCACTAGAAGAAAACAACACTTGGCAATTAGTTGATTTGCCAAAACGAAGAAAATCGATAGGCTGTAAATGGACTTTCAACCTAGTAGTGGACTTTCAACCTAGAATTCCTTGCCACCTAGTGGTGCTCCTGAATTGAAAAATCAAAGTGCGAGGAAGGACAGGACATTTGCGGAGATGTGGCAAGTCTATGTCTTCCTTAAGATTACATAAGGAACGAAGAGTGTCAGGAGCAACGTTGATGCACCGAAGGTTCTTACAAAGGCCAGATATAAAATGGAACAATGTGGCAGATTTCTTTCTAGGCCATTCTGGTACTTCAAGAGTCTGTCTAAACTATGATTTATATCTATTTCTTTCTGCAAATGCTTGGGAAAAGGAGTTTCTTAGGGCTTTCCTAACAATTGACTAAATGGAGTTGTAGGGAAGACCAGGCTAAGATGTTTGAAGGACAGAAGCTTCCTTCTTAGCCAAGAAATCAGTGGCCTCATTACCCTGAACTGTACTATGGGCAGAAATCTATTGAAGTACAACTGCTTTGTCATTGTACTTCAATGGATTCCTGTCCATTGTATGCATTATATTTCAGTAATCCTAAGTAGTTTGAGAGAATTTTTTTTTTTTTTTTGTAGTGAAATGCAGGTATTAAAATGCTTTTATTATGTTTATAGGTATGGCATTATTATTTTGGTGAACGCTTATATTATTTGCTAATTTTGAAACATATTCTGAGCCATTGGCAAGATGATGGTGATTCATACAAGGTAAGGATTTTAGGATTACTATTTCATTTTTGTGAAGGGAAAGTTTTTCTCATTGAACAAATAAAGTAGCCTTGCATTTAAGGCTCCTCACGAAGAATTAGTGATAGAAGTATCAATGTGTGAGCAGTCTTTTTGTAAGCTTATATTTTTTGTCTTTCTTTTGTAGGATATATATGAAAGTTTTTTAGATAAAGTTAACAAAGACAATATTGTAGTAACAAAAGTAAGTAGATAATTAAAATAAGACATTTGAATATAATTACTGCATTGCATTTATTGAAACACTGTATTAAATTGATTTTGTTGATTAGATTATTAGTCAAATGGAGGCTTCCATCGGTGTAGAACTGCCCACAAAAGATTCGCATGGACCATATATGGCATGTATCTTTTTAATTTCAGAATTATTTACTTTTTTATGTATGCTTTGTTTTTATTATTTGCTCAGCATATTTAAGAAATGAAGTTTAAGAGAATATAAAGATAAATGAAATGCATTCAGAAAAACAAAACCTTTTCCTTTAAGATCTTATATTGAATGAAAATTATCTTCATTGCTTCAGATCTGAGTCAGAGAATATTGAACTCTGAATAAAAATGTGATATCATCCTTTTTTTCTTTCAGTTATCCTCTGTGTCTCATATTTTAGGTATTGGCATAAGTCTAACTGTAAGGGAAACATGCCAGTGTAAAATTTAAAAGGAGGCAAAAAAGCAACTTGAGATTGGCATAGATTTATTCACATTTTATGTAAATCTAAAGTTATTTTTGAATGAAGACATTATTTTAATAAATAAATATATAATAATAATAATAATATGTATCTCAAACTAAAGTATCATTTTTGTATAACCTGAAATAAATGTGTAGTAAGATGATACCTATCCTAAATCCATTTGTGTTATAGCTTATTCTAATTCATTTCATATATAACCTTTAAGTTTTCATAGGTATTTATTTGATGTTTACAAAAAGTGGCAACTGCTCTAATTTTTACCTCATCAACCAATGTGCATAGTTAAGAGAGGTAGTATTTTCAGTTCAAAAATTCAGTAACGAGTTTTCAGTGAATAAGCATGAATTAAGGTCTCCATAACATATTTTTACAATTACGTCTGTGTCTTGTCTTTCATCCATCTTATATCAAAGTTCTAAAATTTTTTTTCTCGCATTTAAGTTTGTAAGAATTATTATTTAAATTAATCAGTTATTTAAAATTTCAGCTTTTATTATAAATTATTTTATTATTTCCGTTACCTCACCAGAATGTACAAGTATTAAGTTATTGAATATTTAATCTGAGGTTTTTGAATTGTAAGACAGAGCATATTTCAGCCTCTCGTTGTCACATTATGAAGTTCTGTCAGTTCTGATAAGTTTGTAATTAATTATAAGGCTTTGCATTTTGCTGCTGCTATTTGAATTTCATATACTGGTTAGAGTATTTGAGCCAGCTTAGATTTAAATTTAAATGTATAGTCTTTGACCACTAGTTTTTGTTTTAAATTTGAATTCGAGTGTTACTTTAGTTATATCACCGTAAGTGGTTGTTGATTCTGTTCGCACAAGAAGTGCATTTATATTCAAAGTTCTGTTTAATAAAAAGATTGTTTAAACCTTTTCTTGTCTGTGTAGTTACTTCAAACATAGCAATAATTTGTAAACGTCTATTAGGAATTTGGAACTAGTTTATGCTCCCAAAGCAAGCCATACCTTACAAGCTTTCTGCATTTGTATTAAGAGTTGATTAGATTTTGGGTAAAACTGGACAGCCAGCATGTTCATGTGTACATGAAACTCATAACAGTTTTTAATAGACAACTGGAACTGGTATTTTATTCCAAGTCCCTAATAATTTTGCAGCAATCAATGTAACACATTGTTGCAGTTGAATGAGCATTGCTTACTCATACCTAAGTATTGTGGGGATACACATGTGGATAAAAATGAATTTTGATTTGTTATTACTATTACTGTAGAAATAACACAGATTTGTTTCAAAGTGTGTACTTTAAATGCGTTATAAATGCTTAATTTTATTTAATAAAAAACAAATTAAATTATATTTTATTTAATATTAAATAATAAATAACTCAATAAAGTATAATTTATAACAAAAATATTATTAAAGGGGCATTTGGAATAAATTAAAAAAAAATGTTTTTACATGTGGCTCATGGATTTTTATCTAATAAACATGGATTACATCTAATAAAATGTAATCAAAAGTTTCATATTATACTTTATTAATTAGAGCAACAAATTAAGTTTTATTTAAAAACTATTAACTGAAAATGATGTTTTACTTAAAGCTCATTGCTATTTAAAATATGGAATTGTTAGAAAGTCACATCAGATTTTTTTAAAATTATAGATTCTAGACTTATACTTGTGGTTGTGTAGTTTACTTAAAATAAATAAATAAGAATATATTTATACATTTTATAAATTAAATAAAAACTTTATTAAAAGCAGTTTCTATTGAAAATTCATGCTGTGGGAAAGTTTTTTAAATGTAAAATTTAATTTTTTTATGTAGTTCCCTTAAGCAAAAATTCAAATTAGGAATATATTCATTATTTTTTACTAGTTAAATAAAAAAGTTTTAGATCTTTATGCATGATATTTACAAAGATATGCACAATTAATATTTTCCTGGGGTACCTACACATATTTTCAGCATGGAACTATTAATCATCAAAACTAGCATTTTTTGCTGTGTGTTTGCACCCTAAATTTAGGTGGTTTTAGTTTATTTGATTTTGGCAAAGAATTTGAGGGTATCTGCCTATAGAGAGGGATGCTTTGTGGAGAACTTTCTAAGAGAAACTGGTTTGTATACACATGGGGAAACTCTTGAAAGTGCCCATGCACCCAGCCAATTCTCTGGGATTTAAACCCCAAATTTAGGGGAGGATTTTAGAATTTTGCTCAGTAACATGGACTGAAAAGTGATCTGAATATAAGTGCAGAATTTTCTATCATATTAAAGCATTGTTAAAATTTATTGGAATTTTCATTATTCAGGTCTGCATGACGAAGAGAAGAGGGAAGTTCTATCTCAATTTTGATGAAGAACATCCCAAAGGATGGATACAGCAGTTTCCCACCCCTCTTTATCTATTGTTGCATCGCTTAAGAGGACTTTCAGCTCAACAGTATTTTAAGTGCCCCTAAAACTTATGTGCCCACAGATGTTATACACTTATAAATATCATGATAGACACTAATAAATATCTATACCTTTGGTGGTATGGTATACACTTATATGGTATGGTGGTGTACACTTATATGGTATGGTGGTATACACTTATACGGTATGGTGGTATACACTTATATGGTATGGTGGTTTACACTTATATGGTATTTTGGTATACACTTATATGATATGGTAATACTATACACTTGTATGGTATGGTGGTATACACTTATAAATATCTATACATTTTCCTTAACACTCAGGCCCAAGACTACATACATCATTCCGCTCTCCCATTACCAAGCTATCATAGCAGCAGTTTCAAATTTGTTTTTATAGCTATGCTTAATATTAGATTGTGTTTGATAATAATGCATAATCTTTTTGTTCTATTTTTAGAATGGTATTGCAAGAGTAATGAAAACAGTTGCCTAGATAGTTTCTTTAATTTCTCCAATCTTATTTTCTGAGATGTCCTTAATTTTTTTCTTTGATAGTCCTTAAAAGTGTGTAATTTTCATTTAAAGAAATGTGTACAAATCATGCTATAACCATCTTTTTCAAATACTTTATGTAAGAGAATATGAAAAATATTTTGCAAACATTTAAAGTTTTGTGAGACCGTGATCATAAGAGATGCTTCAGTTTTTTAACTTATTGCTATAAAAATAAGAATATCATATTTATTTTCATATTTCCTTTCCCTTCTTTTTTATTAATCTCAGTTTTTAAAATAGGGGAAAATTTTATGGTTTCTACTGTTTCAAAAGAAGGGGTTAAAGACATATTTGTGACTGTCATATAGTATCAGGTGTTACTAAATAGAATAGGGAGAATAGGGAGGAAACATTCAAAAGGGAAAAATATGCAAGTAAATGTAATAATCATTTTGGCACATCATTCAAAGCAGAATCCTGTATTGAAGTTATTATATATACCGTATTTGACGGCATATAAGACACACCCTTATTTAGAAGGCCACACACATGTAGATGTAGAAAAAGTTATGTGTGTCTAGACCTTTATCCGGGCTAAAAATAGCATTCAGTATTGAAAGTTAACCTGTGTCCTTCACGTATAAGACGCAGGTAACTTTTTTGAGACCAAATTTAGGAAAAAAAGTGCGTCTTATATGCCGTCAAATACGGTAATAATTTTAAAGAATTGTATTAATTTTTAAAAAGTGAAATTTGATGATTTCATGAACAAAATTTGTATTTTCTGCATCATAGTTACATTCTTTATTAATATAATATTCTGAAAAATTAAAATTGAAAGGTATAGTGTAAAAGGATGCTAAATGAGCAATGTATTCTAAAGAAAATTGGGTTCCTTTATCACCTTTTCAAGCATATTTTGAATAGTTAAAACTTAAATTGACTGAACCTTTTATGTAATAACATTTTAAGGTAATAAGAAATATATAATACTGATTAAAAATTATTGTCCTGTAAATAATTTTTATTGCTTTTTAAAAGAATATATATATATATATATATATTATAACTTTAAATCTGATTAAAAAAAGTAGTAACTACTATAAATGAAATTCATTTTAATGTGCTTCTGCAATCAATTATTCATTGAGTAGTTTCTCTTCATGATTGATTAAAATTTTGTTGTTTTTCATTTGTATTTTTAGACTGAAATTCTAGCTTATCACTGGACAACATTCATTTTGAAAGAACAGGTAAAGATTTCAAATTTGAATAGTTGTGAATTGCCTTATTAGTATCTTCCTCCCCTTTCATTTGCAATTAGACTCATTGTAAACTAAACTCTTTGCATATCTTAGCCATCCCCCCATGTAAAACATTAAAAATGAAATTATTTTCATTAAAAACTTAAACCTCTATTAATGTTTTATGTTTAATCCTATTGTTATATAATTGTTTCTAATTATATATGTATATATATATATATATATAAATGCTTTTTAATTTTTATAGTGCGAGCTGCTGCAATTACTTCTTTTGTATTATAAAGATATTGAGCCTACCATTTCGGATGTTCAAAAAATGCTATTGCTTTTCCAGGTACAGATTACTGATAAAATGTCTGTAAATATGCTTTTAAGATGAATATTGATATGATTTATAATAATAATAATTTATTGATGTGATTAATAATTTTATTCTCCTGAATTCTTCTTTTGTTTTCTTTTTTAATTTTTTTTATTAGCATTGGAATTTTTCCAATGCTAATAAAAAATGAAGATAAGGAAACAAAAGGAGGATTCAGGAGAATGAAATTATTAATTTATTAAACTCGTATCAATTAGTGTTGAAATTTACAATTTCAATGCACTTCAGTCTTGGAGTTTCAATCTTTTTACACTGTTGTTGATAATTACAATATTATTTAGTTTCTAAAATACAGTTTTCTCATATTTAATTCATAAAAATGAGATACGTTTTAAGATCAGTGGCATATCAGTATTGTAATTTTTCTAATTTTGACAATATGTAAGGTTTGTTTTTATGTTATGGAAAACACACACAAAAAGTGCAGATTTTATTGAAAGGGAGTCAAAGGAAATGGTATACAAAATGGACCCAACTTACTCCTCAGATAATTGGCAAAATGCTTGTGACATAATATATCACATGTTAAGTCAATTGTCTTGTAGATTTTGAAGAGTAACCAGCTACAGTTCAACAGGATTTGTTGTTTCTTATGAACTTCTACAACTTCTGTTTGAGTATATTATTGCAAGAAATAATAGCATATGTTTCTTATGAATTGTGATTAAACTAGACGTTTTTATTAATATTTTTCTTAATTAGTTATTATAAATTATGCCACTTCGAAATAAGATGCTAAAATTATCAAGCTGAAAATTTAGACTTATACTTTATAGAATCTCCAAGAGAGACTCTTCAGTTGCACATATCATAGAAGTTTGTTGCAAAAGGCATGTATTTTCTCAAAGATATAAATCAACTAGTGTTATAAAATGTTTTCATAAAAGATGATTAAATGGATATTGTAAAAGCCAAATGCTATTTGATTCGATTTTTAATTGAATACAATATTCCAATTTCAGTTTTAGACCATTTGAAGCAGCTTTGCAGTGCAATATATGCAGATTCTGATTTATATGTATATTTCTTGTCCATCTAGAATTTTTTATTTTATTTTATTTATTTATTTTTAATTTATGTGTAAAAATCAATATCTCAAAGTTTCAAAGATATATAGTTAATTGACTCTAATTTCCTGTATGATTATTTGTGATTTAAAATATTTGTTTCAGTAATGTATTGATAGATTTAGTGATATTTCTATTTTAGTAAAAAAAATCTTAATTAAATATACCTATATTATTATTGAGTATTTTTATTTATTCAATTTTTTGTATTTTTGGAATTTAACCCTTTGCACTCAAGGCCTTTTTTTGCTGGGGCGAACCAGCAATTCAAGACGATTTTCTGCATATGTGGTGAATTTCTTACGGCTAACTTAAAAACGATTCCACGGAAATCGAATTTTTTTCTTTTTTAAATGTCTGAAAATACTTGTTGTCTTGTGGCTCTTTTATCGGATACAAAGAATATTCTTTGTGGTATTTTTTCGGATTCTGTGCACGTTATCCATTCTGAATTTTCTTCTCTTTTGTGGAATCACTGTTGCTTTCACATTCACTATTTTTTATCCTGATTTTTTGCCCTCTTATATCTGTTACCTCATCCTTATCTTCATCACTGCTTTACTCTAATCTATTGTGAAGTAGTCTATGCATAGATGTACTTTTATTATTCATCAATGGATAATCGAACTCATCTTCATTTGAACTGATTCCTTCATTGTATTCCATGCTTACTGTGCTATGTAACTCTGAAAATAATATTCCTATTGCTACGACTGTTAAGTTTGAGATAGTGTTGTAGAGGTATCTATAATAATAAATCTAAATATCTAAGTTTAAAGATTGGCAGTTGTTTTATTCTCATGTATTGTTGAATACATTCATGAAATGATATTACCCAGCCCAACTTAAATAAACATCATTACTTTTCGAATTATATGAAATAAAGTGGTGACTACCTTTCAAGTGCAGAGAATTAGGTTAAATGTTAAATTAAAAAAAAAAAAAAAAAAAAAAAAAAAAAAGTGTTCAACATGCACATTTTCAAAGTTGTAAAAATGCCGCACGTACGTTGGCTGCTGACAAATTTTGCTGTAAGTTAGCGTTTATGTATATTGTGAGAATATGAAGATAAAGACTCTTTGTAAATGCAAAAGAATCTGTTTGTAAATGTAAATTAAACTAATATCGATCATGATGCAAATATTTGTTGTTCAAAAACTTAAATTTGTTTAGAAAGAAATAATGAATACTGCAGCTGTTGTTAAATAAATACTATTTTTGTTATCAAATTGAATTATATTAAAGTGAAAAATATTGTTAGATTTTCCAAAAATCAGGTTTTCTCACTTGTCAGTGATACTGAAATTAATGACACATTTTATTATGGATAGTATCTTAAAATAAAAAAAAAAATATATATACAGTGATCTGAGGATAAACACGTGAATTGTTTTGCCTAAGAAATAAAGCCTGTATAAATATACTGTGTCAGAATAGAATAAACCATTCATAGAATAATTTTTTAATTTCAAAATAAAAATTTTATCATAATAGGTTCATATGTAACATCAGAAATATACTTAGACAGGTACAGGTAGAAGCTAGGCCAGCACCTCTGTAGTACCACAGATGAATGGGGTATTGTTAACTTAGCTAACTGTTAAGCTTCTGTCCCAGTTTTGAGAGAGAACAACACCCCAGGGGGCTGGTCCATAGGTCTCCCACTCGTCTTCCCTGCAAACAACCTCTTGAAAGGACTTCTGACTCACCATGTACTTTGAATGCCCCTTACCACACAGACACTGTAAGTTTACAAACATCAATGCCTTCTTTGGGATTTAAACCCAAGGTCATTGGTACAGCAGTCAGAATCATTAACTGAATGTACTGGTTGGATGGCTAATATACAAAGACACTTAAACTTTCAAAATCATGTAATTAAAGGGAATTTCATTATATATCATACTTTGTAAAGTCATGATTTAATTTTGATTTGCAAAAGCCTAAACATAGGTTTTATAAATGATTTCTAACACTGTACTTAAGAGAACAAGATGAAAGCATCACATATGCAAAATTAAAAATTTTATGTTATGATTTTGGCTTTTCTGTAATTATTCTTTCATCAACTTCTACCAGAATGCAGGTTAGTTTAAAGTATAAAGCCTCGTTTCCACTACTGCGTACGAATGCGTTGCGTCAATTAAAGACACTCCTACTGCATCCGTACAAGCATTTCCACTGCTGCGTATCCGTTAAATATTTTCATTTTCCGCCGCTAGGTGTCACTGTAATATTTTGCTGCCAAACATGCAGTTCGCGAGTTGCGACGCTGAACATCTGCATTTTTCCCGCTTAAGCGAGTATTGTTTGTTTTGGATTTGATATGGATCTTGACGTAAACGCAGAAAAGTTTTGTTTACTAAATTCCATGTTATTGGAAATTTTTATTTCTGCTTATGAACTGCGAAAGTAAAGTATGCTAGCAATTTTTAGATAAGTAAGGTTATAATGCATATTATGAACATCACTAATTCCATAGAAGCTGAAGTAAATTTAAAAAAAAAAATGTGTTTCTAGAAGCCTTAAATATTAATTAAATAATATATATATTATTTAAAACTAAAATGTACTGTTAGTGAAAAAATAAACAAATAAATAAATAAAATAAAAAAGTTAAAGGAATTAAAAAATAATTGGTACTTTAAAAATACAGAGCAACTGTAAAGAAAGGTTCACAATATTTACACAAAATTTGCTATGCTTGTAAACTGCTGACTTCAGGGTCATAGCTGGACAATTTGTTAGAAATTTCATTTGTTTTAAAATGCACTATGGGCAGTTATATTTTATGCATAATCCATAAAATATTATTTTTAATTTAAACATTTTTAATTCATATCTCTTTTTATAGAAGTTATAAAAATAAGATTTTTCTCTTTATATAATACACACATTAGGTAAAGAAAATGGAAATAATTAATTAATTCCTGCGCTTCTGCTGGAGAGGACTGAATTTAAAAGCAATTATTATAGTAATTTTTTGTTAAAAAAGTGTTTAGGGCATTAATACTGTCTCATGTTAATTGGAATGAAAGTTTAGAGACGTAAACATCCCAAAGTCTGAGCACATGTATATACATTCACATAAAAGTGAAACGAAGATATATATATCTACAGGATTTCAAAATAAATTAAATTTAAACAATTATCTTGCGCCATTGCTGCAAGGAATGAAATTTGAATTTAACAAACATTTTCTATTCGTAAAAAGCAAATTTAAAGTTAATTAAATTTAAATGAAATTTAGTGCAAACAAATAAATGATTAATTATTGCTGCGAACTAATATACAATATCATTTAAATTCTGAGAGCATATGTAAATCAAGTGCAAGTATCAAAATCCATGAATTATTATTCACTTATGCATTTTTATAATTTTTTTAGGATTAAATCTATCCTGTTATACATTTATGCATGTTATAATTTTTTTAGGATTAATAAGCTGTCCTATTATTCACTTATGCATTTTTATAATTTTTTTAGGATTAATAATCTATCCTATCATTCACTTATGTATTTTTATAATTTTTTTTAGCATTAATAAGCTATCTCATTATTCACTTATGCATTTTTATAAATTTTTTAGGATTAATAAATTTTTGGAATTATATATTTATTCATGGATTTTGATACTTGCACTTGATTTATATATGCTCTCAGAATTTAAATGATATTGTAGATTAGTTCGCAGCAATAATTAATTTTTTATTTATTTGCATTAAATTTCATTTAAATTTAACTTTAAATTTGCTTTTTACGAATAGAGAATGTTTGTTAAATTCAAATATATATGTACAGAGTAATGCTTTAAATTAGTATTATATGATTTTCAAACTTTTTTGCGGGGGGAAATTTAAATAAATAAGAGCATAAATATATTTAATGCATATAAAACAATATATTTAATGCATATAATAATAGAAATAAATTATAAAACACGAATATAGATCAAATTGGAACAAAGAGCTGAGAAAGTTGCAGACAGGGTGCAAAAAGCGTATGGGATTCGAACTCATGACCCCCAAAAGTAAACACTATTACCATCAGCTTTACCACTAAGCTAGCATCACACGGGAATCATATGCATATTTTGGCTTATATACATAATCAAGTAAATCAATTCTTAAAACTAAATTTTTTGGTCTTATTTCAGTGTGCTATTGTCTGAAAAACTCCCCGAGTTTGTTCTTCAGCTTCTAGTGCATTTTTTACAAAAGACATTATCTTTTAAAGTGGTGTTCCGATTGAAGTTAAACGGGCTGCTTAAAATATATTTCATGTGCTTACAAATATATGTTAGCCAAAAAGATATATTTTAAAGGGAAATACAAATTTAACATACTATTTAATGCAGTGGAATATTTAAAAGGCTATCAAATTTAATTTATAATTAACGTTTTTAGTTTTTACCTGTTTCAAAAGGAAAAAATAACAAATCTTTTAATCATATCTAATTTGCTACAGCAGTTTGATATAGTCAGACATTCATTTTCATTAAAGGTAAATGAGTATGCAGAACTAGGAAATAATTGTCAGGACAAATTTTGCTATTTAATGGACTTGGAATTATAATTTTTGGCCGCTGATTTTCTTGAAGTGAATTTCTTGGCCACCTGATTTTATCTGCGAACAAGTACTGTAGTTGCAGTTACCTTATTTTTCTTATCTTTTTTTAACTGAATTCAGCTGATTGCTGACTTTTTCAGTACGCAAATTTCTCATTATAATGCTAATTCAGCTATAATGGATTTTTTAGCAAAACATTCTTTTCCCTAAGCCATCGTTCATCGCTACTTCTGCCGCCATTAATTGTTGGTGACAACACCTGATTGCTCCTTTTTAACCATGTGACCCCAACGCATCCACAGACATACGGATAGAAGTTGAACATTGTTGAACTCCATTCGTACATCATCCGTCACCTCACATCGACCGGATTGCAGATGTCAATCAAAGTGAAGTCGCTTGCTGATTGGAGAAACGCATACGCAGCAGTGGAAAGGGGCCTTAAATATGCCTAAGTTTCAAAGCTTATCAGAGAGAGTTCATTAGCATTAAGCTTTCTGTTACTCTATTTTAGATTTTTGTTGTTGTAATTAATTTGCTGCAATTTCTTTGTGGGGCTTTAGGAGTGGCCAAGGTTTAGGCTAGGCTTTGCTGATATTGTTCTATTGAATCTACATTTGATTTAAATTGATTATGTGTTGAAAGCTGTAGTTTTTGCCTGCAAATTAGTGGAGTTCTATTTATTTTTCTGTTATTTATTTATTTAGTTTATGCAACTAACAGATTGATTACTTAATGAATATTTGTATTTAAACTTTTACCTTTGTTTTGCTATTTCTGACAGGATGAAAGTCGTACATGATGAAGTCTGTTTTGTTTGTAATGATGTGTTACAAGATGCTGTTTTTCCCAAAACAAAAGTGCTTCTGCGACTTACAACATTTAAAAAATATTCTTTTTTATCAGTTAAACCAGAAGTAAATTTATGCATTTATGCAAGAGTTTGACAGATTTATATTGCTTTTCTGTTTCTATGATTTTAGTTTGACATTTTACTTTGATTTTACTTCGGATGTTGTCTGAAATTATTAGTTGATTATTAGTTGTCTGAAAACATATATGTCATCTATAAGAGTAAACACCATTAGTATAAGATTTTGTGCATCAGAAACATGCAAAAATGCAAGAAAAGAATACAATACTAAAAACATTCAGGTCCTCTCAGGTACTGAAAGCACAGGTGTTTTTCTAGAATCTGAAGGATAAGATTGTATTTGTTTTATTATTATTTATTTATTTCCTTCTGAAGGTTCATACATTTTTTTTTTCAAAAGTAAAAATTTGAAAAGCTATCCTTACTTGTATTTCTACTAAATTTTGTTTGTATAATTTTTTCCTTTATTTTTGTAATGGGGTTTGTAGTTCTTTTGAAATTTTGCCATATGCAGCACAAAACATCTCAGATGGTAACTCCCGTTTTGTGTGTGTCAACCTTCTGGTTTTTCATATTTCAAGGATGACATCTATGATATTGAAATATAACTGAAGTCATCTTAGTATTATTGCTATATATCAGTATTTCATAATTAATTTATCAATATTTTTATATATCAATATTTTATAATTCACGATACAACAATAATAAGACAAAAGTATATTATTTAATATTTATTAAGACATGGAGAAGAACTTAAAAATCTGGAAGTGGTAGCAGCTTTATCCAAGTATTTTAGGTAATACAGGGCTATTATTATTTCAGGTATTTTAAGATTATACTGTTTTATAACCTTTCAAGAAAACACTTCATTTAAATAATGAGATTTTAAACATTATTTTTTATTCTTACATAATGAAATTTTGCTATTGTTTTACTTAGGACCATGGATTTGGATTAAGGCAATCATTCCGCCTGTCAACACTGGAGGGTACCCAACCTTTTGTTAACTTAATAGGGTTTGTATGAATAATCATAAAGAAAAATTTACAAACATTTAATGTAATAAACAGGGCATTATTATATTTGATGTAATCATTATGATATTATTTACAGTGCAGATAGGACTTTAGAAAGTATTTCTTTTACCCGTTTAGTGTACACTTTTTATCTAGTCATGCAAGTGCAATTTATAAGGCTGTAAGTACTTCCTTATTATTATTTTGGCACCTGTTATTTAAAAAGAACTAAAAGCTATTTTGGCAATAGGCTGTGGTAAATCTAAGCTCTTTACAAAGTGTCAGTATTACTCCTAATTATGGTCATTTACAGTCTACTTGACACAAGAAAAGCTTGCAGTCCATTAACAAAAAGGCTGTTGCTGCCAGTTAAATAATGGGAGCTGTAGTAATAAGGAAGTATCAAACCATATTGATACTGAATTAGAGAAGTGCAATTACTGGAAAAAAAATTAAACACTGAAATTTTTGTATCTTTCATTCCACTGGGTTTGTATAATTCTTAATGCACTGAATGCCACAACATTTTGGGTCTGCTCATGAAGAAGTGTATTTAAACAGCATTTATTAGTTGAATTTTCTTAATTGATTATTATAGTACCTGTTTTCTTAAATTTCTATTCATTAAAATGATATTTGCATAATGAAATTTTGATTTGAAAAATTAATATAAATTTGAAAAATTAATATAAAGTGTAACCTAATATATATCAAATGACAAAAAATTTCATGCCTAGATAAAGGTGGTTGTGCCACTCGGGGTTAAAAGTCCTTAGGTTTTTTTAAAAATAACTTTTGGTTCTTAGAAGTCCCTTAGGATCTTTAATTTTGTTTATATGATATTTCCATATAATTTCTGTGACTGATATTCTGATTGTGAATTGACATTTTGGATGAATGTAGAATTGAAGCCATGCGGCTTGCAATCGCTATTGCAAATTCAGATTGCAAACAACAAGAAACCATTAGCCCCCCTGGAATAAAAGTTTTGGATAAATCATTGTACTTACAGAATCAGTTCTCCGTGACATTACCACCTTCAAAATAGTCTCCTTCAGCATTCTCACACTTCAGCATTCCCACACTTTTGCATTGGGTGCTGACATAGCTGGTATGTATATATATATATATATATTTGTATATGTATATTGAAAGCAGATGAAATCCAGGTCTGGCAGCAAAAGCTAAAATTCTCAGCTAGTTTCCTAATGTCATTTACCTATAAGATGTGGGAATAAAGGAGATGTGGGAATAATTCAGATTGCAAACAACAAGAAACCATTAGCCCCCCTGGAATAAAAGTTTTGGATAAATCATTGTACTTACAGAATCAGTTCTCCGTGACATTATCACCTTCAAAATAGTCTCCTTCAGCATTCTCACACTTCAGCATTCCCACACTTTTGCATTGGGTGCTGACATAGCTGGTATGTATATATATATATATATTTGTATATGTATATTGAAAGCAGATGAAATCCAGGCCTGGCAGCAAAAGCTAAAATTCTCAGCTAGTTTCCTAATGTCATTTACCTATAAGATGTGGGAATAAAGGAGGTAAACATTATTAGCTGTAAGTTTCCAGTGAAACCATAATGGTCATTAACACTGATATGCAAGTTGGAAAAAATTAGTCATACTGTAAACAGATTTAGATCCAGGAAACTGAGAAGATAATTTTTTGTCTCTTTAAGTTTCTTAGAAATTTTGGAGGTTTTAGAAGGTTTTGGAAAGCCCTTCAGGAAATTCTTTGTTTTTGCCTGAAGCTCTTCAACTGAGGTAGGTAAAATGGCTTCCCTTTAAGCAAGATTTAACTTTAGAAGATAATAATAATAATAAAATGTTGCTTGGAGCCAATTCAGGTGAATAAGAAAGATACCCGGTCACAGTAATGTTTTTGCTGGTCAGAAACTGCTTGACTGATAGGGGCTGTGTGAGCAGATGCATTGTTCTGGTGCAACAGCCATCCATCACTCCACAACTGTAGCCTATTTTCCCTAATTTTTTTGATGAAATCTTTTTAGTACTTCAGTGTAGTAGTATTGATTAAAAGTCTGACCACTAGGAACCCACTCAATCATTACACTTCCATTAATGCCGAAGAAGACAATTAACAATTGTCTTGAATTTTGATTTTGACATGCATGCTTTGTCCCTTCACCCTGAAAAACTGCTTATGCCATTCAAACACACGTGCACGGAACAAAGTTTCATCTCCATAAGCCTCAGTTAACATTTGAAATGTTCTTGTGGCTGATTTCTTATGTTTCACAAGAAACTTGATGTTGATTTGTTGTTCGGTTTTAACATTAGGCATTTTTTCTGGCAGAATGCCATTGCATATGTACACTCAATGATGCAGTACTCCCAACTAGTGTGATCGGTTAAGTCAAAACTGGCCGCATGGATAGAGAAGGTGTTAGGGATGATGTTACCAAAACAGTTGTTGTGAACTCCACTCTTTTTTTCAAGCTACGCATTTATTGTGTGAGCAACTACTGTATATTTCGGCATATAACGCGCACTTTTAACACCAAAAAATAGGATAAAAATTTATTGGTTCCATGTTATATACCAGATATAAAAATGACAGATTAAAAATACGGAAAAAATCAGCATACAAAAGTTACACTTTACGGGTACTTATGCTGTTTATTTAAAATAAATGACATAACTTTTGAATTTAAAAACGTTTCATTATAGGTTAACATGAAAAGTTTGTCATGTTAGTCTTCTATTATATCTTCAGGTACATCATTGATTTCTGTTTCATTTTCACTGTCACTGTAACTCTGATCCATAAATAAATAATCATCATCCGTTCCATCTTTCACCAACACCAAACATCCTTGCTGCAGCATGATTTCCATTTTCTTTCGCAAACGGAATGACTTTGCATTTGAAACCAGCACTGTGTTCTTTTATTTGGCAGGAGCCATATTTACTACTAAAAGGAATGCTATATCAATTGTATTTTAACTAAAATCTTTGATGTTCACTTCAAAATCATGGCTTCAACAGAAACCACAGAAAGAGAATTATCTGAATCATGATTCTGCGAATTCTTTCAGGTTGGAAATGCAGTCTTACTCAAAATTATATTCCTCTTCTCTCGAAAACCTACAATGACATTCTTTTGGACACTTGCACTGAATACAGTACATCTGCTTTGCAGGTATATTTACTCTCTTAAGCGTTTAACCCACACAAATATTGTCCCCCTAATCACTTGTCAGTTCGGTATAGCATTGTTTGAAAGGCTAGGACAAATCTTCAAATAAGTAACCTCAAAAGATAAGAACATTGCACATGTATCTTTTAGGTTTCTCTGTAAAGTATTGGGTGTGCATTATACGGCAAATATTAAAAAAATTAAAATGAAAAATGAAAAAATATAAGTAAAAATTGTAGATGGGCATAGAGCTTCGTTCAGACGGGGGCGTAAAGGGCATAAGTGCTTAAAGCCGAGCTCCGTTGCCAAGGAAACCAGTCTGTGCAACGTCACAAAATCTGGTTTAGGCCTCGTGGTATAGGGTTCAAAGTTTTCAACTTTACGCTGAGTTTGGGATAAGCGTTGACCAATCAGAGCGAAGCTAAAACGAAGCGGCGTTCTACAGAAGATTTCGCTTTCACAAAACAAGCAGAGTGAACGCGGAAATCAATCGAGCAGGAGAACAGCACAGGAAAGATGTAGACACATCCACGCATGCGCCAATTTAGCTTCTCTCATTGGCCACGGCTTACACCCCGTTCTCGCAAGTGTGAACGGAATTCCCGTATTTTATACCCTTATGACTATGCCTCTATGCCCTTTACGCCACTGTCTGAACGCAGCCTTATAAGCCCAAAAATATGGTAATTATTGCAGTGGGATTATTATTGTGGACTTTTTCACATGCGCTTTCATCCAGTGGGCTTTTAATCAAGGAACCAATTTTTTTTTTTTCCCCCTATTCTGCACGTATTTCTGAAATTGTTATTTTACAAGATCTGTTGAGGATTGAAATAACAAAAAAGTATACCAAAATTTTGATACTTTATTTTTTTTTTCTGTTGCAGGTTCTTAGAAAGTTTTGTAATTGTTCAATGTTTTGAATTAGATTGGTTTTATAAGTGTAAAGAGAGCCAAATGTAAGTATCAATATATTTCATATCTGGTCATCTTTTCATCTTGTTCTTTTTGTATGTGACTTTTTATTTAAATGTGAAATTTTTGTCCCAGAAATAACTGAAATGACAACACTGCAAACAAATGTTTTATAATTACTTGCTATTAGACCTTGTGAGCTTGGGATTTTTTACCCTTATTTTTTCAAGTGGTATTTGTCTGACTAGAGTGGTTTATCCTTTTGTGATTTGCAATCACAAAAAACAAAAAAATGTTCACGAGATATTTTTTAAAGAAATTTACATTTGTTGCTATCATTCTTATCTTTTGGCAAGCTTTTAAAGATGGTACTTTGAGTAAATCACAATGAGTGGTTTTCCAAGTTAAAACATAGTGACATATCAAATGAAGATTGCAACATCTTAAACAGTATCATAACTTATATCTTGCATTTCATCTTCTGAATTTTAAAAAAGATAATTAATCCTTATGAGAAATATGTGTTTCTTAATATTTGAAATCTGGAAGAAAAGAGGTGTATTTTATTTTCGTCATGTGTAATGAAATTGAAATTAGGATGCTTATGTGTCCAAGAATCAAGAAATTAGGATGCTTATGCATCCAAGAACTCCAGTTGGTAATAGCTTGCCAATAAATATGCTTGTCTGTTCCATTTTACCACCTTTGCCATCTTTTAATTATGTGCTTAGTTATATTTCAGTTTTTTTATGTGTTTCATACTTGTTAGTTCTTTAATGGGCCTCTGGGTTTTGAAAATTATTTCATTTCTTCAAAACTATGGAATATTGTTGAACAGTCGAGAAAGTTCTGATTCACATAAAAGAAAATTATATAGCATAAAGAAAATATATTATGAAAGTATAACATTGAATTTAATGAGCATGAAACTGAGTACATTTATGAAATTGAATAATTAATGTGTTTTAATGTCTCTGGGGATGTGTATAAGTTTAAGGGCAGTGTGACCTGGTGTCACAACTGTTAGTATTTCTACCATTTTTCTGAGCAATGCAAGCTAGCCCTAAATGTGGGAAATGTTCTCTGCCTCACAAACGTTATAATGCGATGCAAAATGCTGAAAAAATTTGCTGAATTCAAAATTTACTTGCTGTAGTTGTGGAGTCACATGCCATAGACTATAGAAAATATCCAAGGATTCCTGCTAATATTAAGAGGAAACACTCTGACAGGACAAATGTCTCACAAACTGAAAACCTTCAGTTACATAATGAACCTCAAGGCTGGCCTGAAAGTCGATTATATCAGAAACCTGTCTTAAAGAGACAGGGATTTCTGCTCAACACCAAAATAATAAAACAACTTTAAAAAACTGGAACACATCTGTATGCTTATTAAGAATGATCCATCTTTGGGAAAATGTTTAAGAAGTTCGAAGTACTGCAACCAGAAATCTTCACCAAAAAAGTATTCAAAAGTAGCTCAGAAAGCTTATTCAGTGCTTGCAATGACTTCTTTAAGATAATTAAAGAAGTTATTTCTACATTTTTAAAATTCTCCATATTAGATATTCTCAACTTCTCAGGATGGATAAAGGAAATTAGACAGATCAAGGAACCTATAGATAAATTATTTGTGGTATTCAATATTTTTGATAAAATTTTAGTAGCCACTTTTCCAGTAATGGAAGAAATTAATCTTCTGTGTACATATTTATTTGTAATTTTGTACCCTGTTTTTCATAAATGCTTTTTTACTCTGACCTTTAATCTTTTTTTATGAGCCTTGTTCTGGTATCGTTGGTTATAACATGTTTTGTATCTGTAGTTTAAAGTTCAGGACTATTTTTAGTGTTTTGTTTGCTTTATGCCTTAATAGCTTTCGTACTGTTTTAAAAGTTGTTATTCCATGTGCTGTTTATAGACATTGTCACCCACTCGACAAATATTCATGCTTTCTTTGAGAGAAAACAATAGGCAGATATTATAGAGAGTTTTGTTTATTTTGAACTTTACAATATCATTCATAGCATCATACTGAATCAAAATGATATATTTGAAACTAACTTATTTCTCAATGGAGAAGTTCCCATACCAGGTACTCTAATGTTACACCGCTCACAGTAAGCATAGAAGGAAATTATGTACCATAAAGAAAATGTAGTATGAAAGTACAACATTGAAAAATGTAGCAGAAGATAAGAGTATGAGTAAGAAATTAGTTTAAAATAAACAGAACCACATTTTCCATAACTATAAGATTTTTGTTACTTTGATCACTGCCAAAATTTCCTTGATGTTAATTGAAGTTCTTGGTAGCAGTTAAGATTCAAGTACCAAAATTTGTTTTTGTGTGCTTTCTGTAAAATTATAATGCATGCAAGTTATTTTGTTATTAATAAGATTGCTATTTATTCAAGCATTAATGAGTACACGTGAAATACACTATTGCATTATTAAAAAAATCATACATAAACCTGATCAATAATAAAATACTATTGATAACATGCTAAATATTTCTTAATTTTGTTTTTTGATGATGTACCTGTTATGTGCTTGCTTTTTCAGCTGTGCGCTCCATGTTAAAATTATGGAGATAGCAATAGTTTAAGAAAACATGGTGAACTTGCACAAAAATACTGGAGAACTTAAATGAATCAGTGGCCTCATAACCAAATTTTAAGCATTTGCAACCTATCAGCAGCTAAGTGGTAAAACCTCAGCATGCCAGTATTTCAACGTAAATTCAAATTCTGGATAAGGTCCGGCTGCTTGGGAGTTTTCATGATTTTTTTCATGTGTAATCTGAATATGGAAACAAATTTTCTTTAGAAAATTCTCCATAAAGACAACATTTCCTTACGCAGATAGTCCTTGCGTGATTTGCTGTAATTCAAATAACCTAACAGCATTTGCCAACAATTATGAAATTTATGGTAAGAACTTAACGGGTTACACTTGATCTGGTAATACTAATTTTAGTCCTGTAACTCTAACAGAAATGAGGTGAGTTATTGCTATGTCTGAGATAAACGATAGTCTTAAGAAGGTTATAATGAGGTTAAGAAGGTTTTTATTTAGACAGGACTTGGAACATAAGGGCACACTCTGGTGCTACAGTAACCACAATTTGTGATGATGAAAATAAATAGAACAGTCAAATTTAACACTTATAAGTACACATAAGTCAGTTTGACCGCTGGGTATTTTTAGGTTCTGATTTTGGCAACACTGGTTGAGCAAAGGAACTCAGGGAGTTTGTGAGCTTTACATTACACCAGTATGTAATACTCAGCACGTTTTCTGCTTTTGCAAAAGTTCTAGAATTGTAAAACATTTATTATCAACCATGTTTAATAATCTTTGTTATTTTAAATGTTCTTTAATTTTTTATTGCCTTACGATGTTTTTTAAGTAGTAAAATAGGTAAAAAAGCATTAAAAATGCATACCTGGTACCTTTGTTTTATTATTATATTTAATAATAAACATCTGTTCTTATAGGTGTTAAATTAAACATTGAACAATAGGCAAGGACTACACAATTAAATACTGTACTCAAAGTTGGCTCACTAACTCTAGCAGAGTGTCAGAATTAAAGTGTTGATGGCGAGAGATGACAAAGCCGAATAATGACAATTGCTACAGCTGGCAAAAACTAACCAAGTAGCACGTGCATTACGCAAGAAACACTGTGTCTTGAGTCCAAAAATCTCAGCTTAAATACTCACAACTAATTTGCATTCTGTTGAGGAATACAGAAAGGATAAGTTATAGTAAAGACTGAAATTATAATTGGCTAATTAACATAAGATACCCTGCAAAGGCTTGAGTTAACTAGTTGGCAATTCGGCTATTAAAATATAGGATTGAAACAAATTATTTACTGTATTTTTTTTCTAAAGTATTTCTTGTATTTCAAGACAGTTATCAAAGCTTTGTAGGAACTAAAACTAACTAACAAAGCTTTGTAGGATCAAAGCTAACTAACTAACTATCAAAGCTTTGTAGGACTTGTATTAAAACCTTAGATGTGTGTTAAAATAATTATCTCTCACTTACTTTTACTGTGAGCTTTATCAAATATTTATTCATTTAAATTTACACTTTAAAGTTGATTAACTGCTGTTTTTAGAAAAAGAGTTTATTAAAATTCTTGTATATATTAATTGTCTTTATTGAGATAGATAACTTATAGATTCAAGTACCAAGATCATATGATCATATGATTCAATACCAAGATCATATGATCATTCAGAATGCTATAATATAGAAGTGTGTGAAAAAATTCATATTTATTAAATATCACTGTTATTGAATTTAATTAAAAATTAAAATTTGGTAACAAAAAAAATTTTGAATGAATCATGCCATTTGAATCACTAAAGATTAAGAAAACTTGATATGATGGCAAATACCTATTAAATTCTGAAAATGTTGTTTGTTATTTAGGATTGGGGAGCATTACTTATTGAAAGATATGCAAGCTGTTAAAGTAAGTGTTTTATTATTATATTAAAATATTTATTTTTCTATTGTAGTTCTTCAGACAGGATTTCTCAAAGTATATATATATGGATAAGAAGTGTATTACATTTAAAAAATATAAAAGCTACTTTCTCCTTCCTTACCACCTGCTTTCATGGTGTAATTGGATAACATGTCCAGCTAGCAATTAAAAGCTCCAGTGTTCAAATCATGACAAGGGCATTGCACATTTTTCATGTCTGCTGTTTAAAAAACCTTAATAACTACTAGGAGCACCCGAACCTAAAAAGTAGAGGATGATATGTCACCACCAGGGTAGCCTCATCCCCACTCACCCTTTAAGAGGGGGAGTGTCTAAGGTATTTTCTCTTTTGTTATTGTGTGCCTTCATGTTGTAATTGGATAGCATGACCAGCTAGCAGTTGAGAGGTCTGGTGTTCAAATCCTGGTAAGGGCATTGCACATTTTTCACGTCTTTTGCTTCAAAACTACTTAATGCCTCTACATATAATTTAGTTATATGATAGTACATTTTTGCTAACAAGGTGGAAATTGGTGCCATTGGTATATGTTGTCATAAAATATGACTAGAGATAGGGATATCAACTCTAACAATATATATAGTTAAAATTATAGGGAAAGAATATATTGAAAAGAATGGCTATTTTGTTAAATTCAAAATAAATGCAAAAGCAAAGACAAATGTGGAAATTGGCTAATAATGCATATAATCATTCCAATCAACAGTTTACAATGATTTATTTTTATTCGCATTGACAAAGTTCATCCAACATGAGCTCTTGATACCAGAACTAAATAAACTGAAGGGCAGGAAAGAAACCTGCAAACCTTAAAGCCAACATCTGCTTTGTAAATCTTTTGTCTTGTGGCACAATCTTACATCACACTCCATTTCGGTGTGTTAGCGGTAATAAAGCACAGTTGTATTTTCTTCCCCATTTTCTCGAATAAAGTCTCTATAATTGATTATGCTTTATCTTGTAAAAAGTTTATTCATGATTGTTTGTCTTTAAAGAAGAAAGCCAACTGAAAAGTTAAAGGCAAAATTGCTGGATTGATCATCTATTCTTCCTGTTTATTTGTAATAATTATGTTATAATTGCATAGCTAGGCATGAGGTGAAGTAAACTGTTGCATGAGCACACAATTGCGAATGATGTTCTTGTTAGCCAAAAAGTATGGGACAAATATATATATTTCATTGCATAATTTTTTGCATTTTAAAGACATGTAGGGTTACTATTGTAATTGGAAACTAAGCTAAAATCCTGCAGACTCTACTAGACAAGATAATGAGTTAACAGTATGTCTTAACCACTTGCGCTACAATTAAACTTCACGGTTGTAGTGCCGTGCACTACAATATAACAAGCGGTAAAGTGTCTCATTTACGCCGCGTCTGCGAGTGCAATCCAGAGCTGTAACTTGAGAAATAAACAATTTTTTAGAACTAAATATAGTGCACAGGACTTAAAAACTTAGCTGTTCTTGTTGCCTGTTTCATCAAATGTTGATGAACAAATCTATCCATAACTAACTTATTTGGGTTGTGACAGCAATTTTTTGCTATGCTAGCAAATCATGTGCTCATATATAAAAAAACACACTAAAAGCAAATGCTTCTGATAATTTATTATGTCTTTTCTTTTCTTTTCTTTTTTTTTTTTTTTTTTATGTTTAAGCAAAAGAGGCTAGTTTTGGTTAGATCGTGCATGCATATTTGATAAACAAGATTGAGGATTGTGCGTGCACATTTGTTACTATATTGCAGAAGATGAACAAAAAAAAAAAAAAAAAAAAAAAAAAAAAAAAAAGAAAGAAACATTCCGCTGCACTGGATAGAACAAGATAGTCTGCTGCGTCATTCAGTTTTATTTCTTAAATTTTTATATGATTTGGAAAGAAGATACACAAATCTTTTATAATTAAAGATGCAGTTTATTCACAAAATTTCAAATTAAATCATAAAATATCAAAGATGGATTCTGCAAGAAATAATTTATTATTTTTCGAGTATTAAAAAATAAAAAAGTTGCGGGTCCTTAGGCATTGCCTTATTTTATCTATCTATAGCTATGCTACTGGTCCTGTGCTGCACAGGCTTGCCAAAAATAATATTGGTCCCACTGCAACCAAAGTAGTGATAACGGTTTTCCAGTATAATGAGTTATTTTTGCTTTATTGCAACAAGTGTGTATATCATAGAGCAATAAAATATAGTCAGTGCTGTTAAAATTCCTTGGCAGCTGTATTTAAAAGTGATATTCTGGCTTTTTTGCTAGCCAATTACTTAACTTGCACATCGGGGGGGGGGAACTGAGTGAGGTTGTAGCTTATTTTGTTGAATGTTATAGTCTGTGACTATGTTGTGGGCATTTGAATTTTTATTGATTGTTATTGTTTAATTTAGATCACCACAAGTAGCACAAGTCATGCCTTTTATGTTCAGATTAAATAAAAAGGTTATTTTAATGCACTTGTGACTATTTAAGACATAGCTATGGCTCGCTGCCTTCTCTAGTAGAGTCTACAGGACTTAACTATAGTTTTCAGGTCAATAGGAACCCTACATCTTCAAATAAAGAAAACAATATTTTGAGATTTATGACTGGTAGTGACCAATCATAAATATTAATATTACAACCAATTTATGATTGGTAGCGAAAAATATTTAATAGTGTCATACTAAGTTTCATGTCTAATTGTTAAAAACAGAAAACCATGCATAATTGGATATGATCTTGTATAAATTACCTGCTGCTATTAAAACGGTAGAAATATTTCATGGAAGTAAATAAGGATATGAGATCAGAAAATTCTATTATCAGACAACAGTGTTGCCAATAGAATTTCTGAAATTAGGAACAACAAATTCAAGCAACTTATTATTAGACTTAAAAAGAAATCCCAAAATTTACAATTCAATTGGTTGAAACAACTAATATTTCAAAAATAGCTCAACTGTTTAAATATATGACAGATATATTTATAAAGAAAACGTTAATGAATAAATGTTTTCCCCCTTTTGGAAGAACATATTGGAAGGGAAGACTTATATAGTAAAGTTTACAATTCTTTTAAAATTGAAGTTTTAGAAAGGAAAAATTGCAATTGAGTATGCAAAGATAGTGTAAATGTGATGAAGGGTAGATCATTTGTTAAAACTGTTGGTAATGATAGTGTAACCTTTATGCACTACCTGATCCAACGTGAAGTCCTTCCAACAAAAAGAATTATAAATGAATCTGAATGATGTGTTTTTGGATGCTGTCAAAATTATAAAATTTACTAAAAGTTGGGGCCTCAACAGCTGTTTATTTTCAAATCTTTGTAACCACATGGACTACAAGTACAAAAATTTATTATAACATGCAGAAATAAGGAGGAAGGTTATTGTTTTTAAAATGTAAAATTATCATATTTTTTATTGAAAGAAAATCTCAGCTTGTCATTCTTTGTCCAAATAACTTCTGGCTATCAAATTTGTATTACTTATCTGATACTGAGAAACTAGAAGATCTCAGCTTGTTTCTGGATGGAAAAAATAACAATGTATTTATTTTGAATGATAAAATTTAAGGTGTCATTAAAACGGTAAGTATTTGGCAGAATAGGGTGTAAAATTATTCATTTAAAATGTTTTCAACTATTAATAATTTTATAATTGAAAAAAAAATTATAAATCTTTAATTACAAAAATTATTAATCACTTAGAAACCCTAGAAATAGTTTTGCAAATATTTGTGTCGCATTTTGACTTCAAAATATCTTGGATTCATAAACCACTTTTGATTGACATTAATGTGATTATTCAGCTGTCATGTAACCTCCAAAAGGAATTTGCTGAGCTGTTAAATGACTCAAACATAAAACTTAAGTTTCCATAAAAATCCTTGACCGAATTCTGTATCAGAGCTATAACTAAATTTCTTTACATTTCTAAAATGGCATAAAATGTCCTGTGTTTCAACATTACATGTGTAAAACGACTTTTTCAGCTTTAATTCTAATTAAATCAAAAAATCACTAGGCACATTCATCTTATTAAAATGTGATTTTCTTTTTCTTTCTTTTTAAAAACTTTTATATACTTGAAATAAAGACTAAAACTACTTCTTTTAATATGTGTATTATTTATCAAAGAAATAAATTATTTATGGGAAAATATTTATTTTTTATATCTTTATTTTAATGTCTAGGCTCATGAACAAATTTCTGATAAAAGGGCATCAAGAATGAAAAAAGCACTATTTTAGAGCCATCTGAAAGCTTTTTTAGTCCTTTACCTTCTGTTCTTAATATGAAATTTTCATCAGTTTCTCTTGTATTATATAGCATGGATATTAAAGGGTCAGAATTCATATAATGATGGTATAACGATTAGAACTCCTTTTTAATAAAGAAAGAGGGCTTTCTTTATTATAAGATAAATCTGTAAATCTTAGTTATATTCAGTCATGCCCCATTTTATGAACTCTAGTTTTACTGAATTTTGGAATTAAGACATTTTTCACATAAAGGGGGGGGGAATTGAAAGCTTGAAAGCTTGTTGTATCAATACCATTTTGAAGAGTACAATTCAAACTGACAAATTACTAGTAATACCTTATTTAACATATTACTTGAGGAAAAATTCATACTAATAATGATACTTTCCTTTACAAATGTTATGAATTACTACTAGGAACAAATTAGTTGGCAATGGTGGAATATATTCGCATTGTTGAAAGTTCTGAGTAATTATGGGAATTTTTTAGGTGTTATACTTTTTAATATTGAAAATCTGTTCGTTACATTTTATTTTCATTTGCAACTCTCTAAATAAATTATAGATATTTTTCTGTTATTAGATGCTGAATGATTCCATTTTAAACCTGGGCAGTAACCAGTCCCATGCGCCTATTTTGTTAGCTTGGTTAGCCATTGCACAAGGCTCGGAAGTGCAAGATATGATGATGCATTGTAATAAATTAGGCAAGCTTGCATTACATTTGGGTGTGTTTGAATATCTTGTGACAGCTTTGAGTGCATTTTCTGAGAAAGGGGTAAGCTTGTTTCTTTTTGTGTGAATATTTAGATTTTATAAATCTAGCTGTAAGCCAGCTAAACTTGTAAGTTATTAAATGTAAACTGTAAAAATTATTACAGATCAGTTTAATAATATCCTGAAATGCAAATGTTAGCAGTCTTTGATAATTTATTAATTGTGTATATATATATATATATATATATATTAAGTCGATGTATTCTCTGAGCTTATTTTTTGTGCACTTATTTTCTGACTAGCAATAAGCTATTTTCCCCTTTAAATGTTTCCCCATTGCCTTTCAGTTTTCCTTACTTTTTGTTGTGCTCTGTATTTGTAATACGTTAAATTTTTAAAGTTGCAAAATAGAATGCACTGAATAATCTTTGATTTCCTTTGTGTACATTTTAAATTATTAGAAAAAGATTTTGTTTAGTACACTACCCAACATTGAAAATGCAATTTCAAGAAGGAGTGGCCTGAAAATTATACAAATTTCAGCGTAGACGGACGTCATTGAGTTATGCATGCGAATGATGTGAAATGCGCAGCTCTCCAGAGAACGTTGAAGAAGATATAAGGGAAGGAACCTGCAGAATGTTCAGTTTTCATGCCATTATTTCTGCTAGAAAAAATCATCATAGAAAATTTTTTTCTTGTCTCAGAGGACATGTGTAATAGCGAGCCAGGCAATCGTCAGCGGAGGCAGTTCCCGCAGATAAATGATTTTACGAAGGGTATGGTGATCAGACTGAGGAATTTGGTCCATACGGCAAATCTCAGCTGACACACACCTGAACATGTCCACAGTGCACTGGCTGTGGTGACGATGGCTGGAACAAGAAAATGTGGCAAGTTTGAGGAGTTAGGGTGCAGTCAGAGTGACATTAGCACGCGTGGATCGAAGCACCTGCCGACAAGTGGTGCAGTAAGCCACTTTTATCTCCATTCTGCTATATGTTCAAGATAGCCTTGGATGTTCCCATATTGACCGGAACCGTTTGCCCTCAATTGGTGGCTAGTGACCTGCACTCATAGCATCCATTAACCCTTTGCGGCTCAGTGTTCCACTACATGGAACACCCAAATTGAATCGCTTCTGAAATCTTTAAATTCAACCGTAAATAGATAAAAATGCCTTTATAATATACTTTGAACTTTTCTTTTTAAACAGTAGATAGCAGCATATCACAAAGAGACACAGAATTTTCATTCATTATGTGTTATTAAAATCCACTTTTTTCGAGTAATTTTCTCTATTTTTTTAATGATATAAAAATTTTTATTTGGAAAAAAATTTAGGCATAATTTTGCTGGCTGTACTCTAAATTATCTCTTCTATATTTTTTTTTAATCTTTCAGACAAAAACCATACGCAGAATCATTGAATAAACCTGGGTGTTCCATTAGCGGGAACACTGTGCCTTTAGCGATCTCATGCTGTTACGAATCAGAGCATCTGTGCTTAGGAGAGAACATCCGTTGGAGAAAACATTTTGTATACGTTTTCTGTTTACCGTTGCTTTTGGGGGGGGGGAATGAATTCAAACAAAGCAGTATTGAGGGGTGAGGTGTGTTTTGTGTTATGAAAGCCCTAATATTGGCATCTTGAATTTTTTGGGAGTAGTTTTTAGGCGGGAATTTTATTAGTAGCTTGACACATCTTTACTTAGACCTGTGCGATTTTTTTGCTGTCACATTTTAGTCTCATTCCCATTTATTTTCAATAATTGTGTAGATATTTTTCGTGTATGCATATATTATAGGCTTGTTTTTCTTTATTGTTAATATTAATCATAGTTAATTTTTTATTAATTTTCCATAAATGGCGTGGAGAGGTCTAACTCTTTCCGAAAATTTGTAACTATTTTTGTATATAGGACTTGTGTATATAGATATTTATCTCATTTATCCCTATATATTCAAGAATATTCTGTGTATATCCAGGAAAACCATGTATACAGCCATAATACAGAGTTGCTTTTTCATTCTTATACAAACGCTTTCTACTCATTTCGTGCTTCACTGCAATGCTCGCTTAGTCGCACTTTTAAAAGATCTGGCGACGCAGTGTTCCACCTCTTGGAACACCCACAGAATTAAAACGGTAAGTGCAATTTTTACAAAATTTTACCTGTATACTCCTTTAGGACTAAATAGACTGCATACAACTTTTTTTGTTGAAATTCCGACATTAACGTATAGCGCGCCGCAAAGGGTTAAGAAGACTGCCGTTGAACCCACATCATAGACGCCAACATCTGCAATGGTGCTGAGCTCAAGTGAGGTGTACGATGGAATGACACAGGCCCAATCTGGCAGCATCATGGTTTAGGGGACAATTGCATACAATTCCAGGTCACCTGTAGTTCGTATTCAGGGCACTACGACGGGCCAACAATATGTGGATGATGTGCTTCGGCCGGTAACATTGCCTTACATTCAGGGCGTGCCCATTGCCCAACTACACACTGCTCACATCAGCCAACATGCTCTGCAAGATGTACAGATGTTTCCCTGGCCACAGTTCTCTCCTGATCTCTCACCATTCGAGCATATTTGGGATATGATTGGACTCCATTTGGAGACCTTGCCATTGCTGTGTTCGGAAGATGAACTGCAGCAAATGTTTGACAGAGAATGGAGAGACATTCCTGAGGACAACATCTGTAGTCTCATTGACTCTGTACCTAGACGTGTTGCTTCATGTATCTCCGTCCAATGTGCTCTACAACCCACTGAGCTGACACTGTTCTCACTCTGTTTTATGCATATCATTTCGAAATAAAGATCACTTATTATTCATTATCATCTCTCTCTGTTTGCCAAGTTTCATCTCTTTCTGGCCAATCCTTCTTGGTGTTGCATTCTCAATGTCGGATGGTGTATTTATTAAACATTATGATTTATACAAATATTCATTGACTTTTGATTTTGCTTTCATTGTAATATTAGTGGATAGTTTATTTTCATTTCTTCTGTATATATTTTTCAGAGATATTACCAGAATATATTCTTTAAACTCTATTTATATATGAATGCATCATAAAAGAACTGGAAAGGATTAATTTCTGTTTAGAACGGTATCTTTATTTTAATTATTATGTTGCTATAGACCAGTGATCACCAAATCATCAATTGCGAGCTAATAGTAGCTCACGGGGACATCTTCGGTAAATTTCGTTAACTATCTTCTGTTCTTTTGGTTGCCTAACTTTGATTCCTCCACTGAGCTGACGCTGACAAGAAGACACTGGTGCAGTGGAGTTGGAACTGATTGATTTTCAAAATGATTTATCTGTAAAATCATTTTCTTTGAGCTGTGAAAATGCTTAGCCTCTTGTTCCTTAAGAAAAGTATCCAGTTTTGGTCCAGTCAAAATGAAGGCAATGTTCAGCTCTACATATCTGTGTGAGATTTCTTTTTTCTAGTATGTAATTTATGAAAAATAAGCACAGAAACAGACTCACTGATGAATACTTGGACAACTGTTTTTAAATGGCAGCCACTGCCTACTCTCCCAACATTAATAAAGTTGTTGTTGATGACAAAAAAGAATTCCATCCTCCTCATTAATGTTAATCAGTCTGATAAAAAAATCTGTTATTACATTTGTTATTTATTGCTAACTATTCAGTTTTTTTTTTTTTTTTTTTTTATTTACACATAGACTCCAACTACTACGGATTCTCCGTAGTTTCTACGGAAATTCATGAAAAACTACGAGCTACGAAAAGTATGGAAAAAACTACGGATTTTACAGAAACAAGAGCAGGAGAAAACCAGTACGCAAAACGGAACCAACTAATTCATCCGATGATTGGCTGAATACTTGTGTTATCATATATCACGTGTTGAGTGCGTTCCTAGTTTTGAAGAATTAGCCAATCGTAGATCAGTAACTCCAACCGTTAACGACTTATCAATAGTTCCACCCAATTGTCTGTCTCCCAGGTTCCTTGCTGATGCGTGTTTAGGCTGCATTCGGCTGCATTGTGTAGTTTACGGCGAGAGCTTAGCGTGTGTCTTGTGAACTGTGAATCAGGTGAAAGATTTTTAATCATAATGCTGCCTCGAACGAAGAAGCCAAAATTATCAAAGCAGAAGTTTAAAGATTCATATTCTTCAGAATTTCCATGCATTAAAGCGTCCGAAATTTCTGTGAATCACGCACCACTGCAGTGTATGCAACAAAGACTTCTCAGTTGCTCATGGCGGAAAAGATGACTGTAAACGGCAGTTGTTTTTTCTCAAAAGCATATAGAACTTGGCACCGTAAAATCTAAAGAAATAACAAATTTCTTAATAAAAGATGATGAAACAGATCCTATAAAAGCCGAATGCTATTTTTTGTTCGTTTTTTAATTGAACATAATCTACCGCTTTCTGTTTCGGATCATTCCAAAGAGCTTTTCAAAGCAATGTTTCCGGATTCTGCCATAGCAAAAAAATTTAGCTGCGGTCATACCAAAACTGCTGCTATTGTGAAAATGCTTGCAGAAAATACTGTTGCTGATATTATAAAATCAGTGTGCAGTACATCATTTTCTCTAAGTACTGATGGAAGTAATGATAACAATGATAACAAACTGTACCCATTGGTTATAACATACTACAGTAAAGAAAAGGGAGTGATAATTACTTCATTGATTTCTATTTTAGAATGCACGAATAATACAGGAGAAGGTATTTTTAATTGTATAAATGAAAACTTTAAAAACAAAGGTTTAGAATGAAAAAATTGCTTATCATTTTCTTCAGATAATGCTAGTAATATGATTGGAAAGTTTAAAGGTGTAGCATCATTTATCAAAATGCATCAACCAAGTATAATCACCTGAGGTTGTCCGTGCCACCTCTTGCATATAGCTGCAAAAAAAGCTACTGAAAAATTAATTGGCTCAGAAATTGAAATGTTGATTAATAGATATATATTTTTACTCTGGAGAAAAGTTCGAAACGGAAGCATAGCTTCAAAGTTGCTCAACACATTTTGGGACATAATGGCAAAATCTCATAAAATTTTGAAATATTGCAGTACGAGATATTGTCTCTTTTAGAATCTTATAACAAGGATTTTGGAACAGTTGGGATGCTGTGATAATAATTTTTTGGAGGGATCAAACCAGATAACAGTGAGAATGAAAGAAAGAGAGATTGCAAAACATTAAAAATAAAATTTACAGTCATCTACCACCAAATTGTACTTGTTATTTTTGAAAAATACTTCATCTTTGTTTACAACAGTAAATATTAATTTGCAACAACAAGCTCCTTATATACATAAATTGAGAAGAGAACTTTTTGAACTTTTAATGAATTTATTTGTTTAGATTCGTAAAACTATCAGTAATTTCTAAAGAAAATGAAGATGTTACTACTCTAACGTCTATTCCATTTCAGAAGTATAGTAAACAAAAAGAAAATGAAAATTTAGTGATTGGTTGTGTGAAACAAGACTATATTTAAAAAATGCCAAGTTGAATGAAAGTGAAGTGAAATCATTTTTCAATTCTGTGCGAGTTTTTTTTGTAACTACATGTTCATATATAATTGATAAATTTCCACTGAGTGATCCATTTCTAAAACATGCTGAAGTTGCTGACATCAACTTGAGAACTGAAGTCTCATTTTCATCTGTTCTTTACTTGATGAATACTTTTTCATCCATTATTGATGAAAAATGTCTTAATCAAGTAGAAATTGAATTTTCCATGTATCAAGTAGATGATTTGAAAGAAATTGTAGATTTGCGTATTGATATAGCATGAGGAGAAATTGCCAAATTAAAAAATATGAATGGGTGTATTAAATACAAAGTATTGCCTTCTGTAATGCTTGCTGTCTTAATAATACCTCATTCAAATGCAGCTTGCGAAAGAATTTTTTCTATTGTTAGAAAAAATCAGATGGAATTTCGACCAAATTTAGGTCTTAAAACTGTTGAAGCAGTTTTGATTGAAAAAATAAATATGCAGGCAAATGAAGAACTGTGTTATAAAAAAACATTCTCAAAATCAGAACTTAAGCTTGCTAAGCATGCTACATATAAATCTTTGCATTCATAAATTATGCGTATTTTGTTTAATACTTATATGTATCATTCTTGGTTATTTAAATTTTATTTCCCTGTAGAAATCATATCCAGAATAAAGATATGATTTATAGCTTCTGATTTTTTCTATGATTAGTAGTGATTTGAAGTACTTTTTATTAGTGAATGCTTGAGGAGTTAAAAGAAAATTTCTAATTAAATGTGCATATAATTTACAAGGTATATTTTTAATTATTCAGTTTTATATGTATATGGATTTTAAATGTAATAAAATTGATTACAATTAATTATTAATTTAAAATTAATGAATGGTTAATTACAACATACGCTACGCGCACATTTTCAAAGTTGTAAAAGTGTCATTCGCGCGTTGACTACTGACAAGGTTTGCTGAAGGTTGGAGTCTATGTTTACAATTCAATTTCAATTTCTTTTTGTTATATACAGATTAATTAAAATTGATTTCATAATTTACTAGAAATGTAAGTTTATAAGCAATAAACAAATATAAGATTTTTTTAAAAAGAAGTTGGTAGTTCTTTTGGGTAGGTTATAGTAGGATTTAAAAACGGTACGGTAGCTCTGAAGCTTCATAAGTTTGGCAACTACTGCTATAGACTATCAATTATATTTAAACATTTGAATTTTTTTAATAGGTTGTTTCTGAAGTAGCAAATGGTGTGGTTTACAGCTTGTTATCTGCTGTATTATCAGAATTTGATCTTCAACACTTAGGCTCAATACAGGTAACTAATGTTCCTTTTATTATTAAGTAATTAAAATGGGTAGTAATACACACAAACCAAATATAATAAAAACTTATTTACCAAATTATATCTAATTTTCTTTCCATATTTTATCATTAAAACTGCCTTTTCTAAATATGAGCAAATGATGTTATCTATTAATAGTTTGATAAAAATTATATCTTTTTAATATATTTATCAAGTATTATATGAATTAAAAAAATTACTATAATGAACTTAAATCTGAAGGTCCTAAAAAGCACTCTTTATTAAACAAATGAAATATTCCACCCTTTTTAATAAATTTTGTTTTCATTCATGTTGTCTTCAAACAAAAAAGGCAATTGATAATTTTGGAGGCAAAATATGACTCAAATAAATCAACTTTTTATAACCATTTTAAATATGTAGTACACTCCCAATCAATTGAAGGCAGATTAATCAGACCTTGTCTAGAGTAAAAAAATATGTTTATTGCAAAGTAGTGGCAAAATTACTCTTACAAACCATCAGATAATAAAGCAACATTTCTATAAGAAAGATAAAAAGAAGAAATATGGTATAACAGCTTTGACAAATGGTGGATATTCAGAAACTGTTTTCATCCATGACAGTACATAGTTAAGCGGCACATGTGTAGGGTTACTAATATTTTGCATAACTAGTTATTTTAGAATTTATATCTTTACTATCACTTCTCCTTCCTCTTTCTTCACCAGAATTAAACAGAGGTTTTTTTGGATTTTAAGACAGAGCATGTTTCTATCTCTCGAAGCCATGTTACTAGGTTTTGCTAGCTCTGACAAGATTGTAATTTTCCAACTTTGCGTTATTGCTGCAGAAATTTAAAAATTGTTATGCGGTGAGAAGTTTTGAACCAACTCTATGCTAAATCAGTTCTGTAGTCATTGACTACTAGGCTTAGTTCTTACTTGAAGTTAACATCGCCACAAGTGGTGGTTGATTTGTAAGCATGAGATGTGGCATGAGATGTGCATTTTATTTTTAAGTTCTGATTTAATAAAAAGGCTGTTTTAAGACTGTGTTATACTTCAGATCAAGCGATAATTCGTTCTAAGTCTGTTGATGCTGCTTTATGCTACAAAAGAAAAACTGTATGCATAGCCTAGATTATATAAATGTTTTTGAATCATCCATTAAAAATAACTTGCTAAATCATTAAAAAGAAACTAATTGTACAACCATTAATTTTCTCTTTCCTATCAAAATACAAAAGTAATATGAACAAAAACATTGTTCTTTCTATTTTGAACATGAATTTAGAGCTGGTTGTGGTTCAGATATAGCTTGAATTCTGGATTGAAAAAGTATCTCATATCCATATTGTTGTGTACCATATTTGAAATAATCTTTCGTATACAATAATTTTGAAAATTAATGTTCATGATTAATTTTTGTTGGTGCAGAAGCTGAAAAAAATTATTACGAATTCTACAAAGGCTAATCCATTAGTAAAGGGGCTTAATTGTATTCTGTTAGAGGCATATATAGAACATACTGATTATATGAAAAAATAGAAAAAGCTATCTTTAACTTGTTTGCTGCTGTCAACAAGAATACTTATAGTTGGCAAAGTGAAGGCATCCCTCCCTTTAGGCAGATAGCCCTTGAAGCTTTGCCATAATCATACACACACACACACACACACACACACACACACACACACATAGTTGGCAAACTGAGTTTACTTGCCAGCTATGAGATAAATCATAATTAATTAGTAAAGGGGCTTAATTGTATTCTGTTAGAGGCATATATAGAACATACTGATTATATGAAAAAATAGAAAAAGCTATCTTTAACTTGTTTGCTGCTGTCAACGAGAATACTTATAGTTGGCAAAGTGAAGGCATCCCTCCCTTTAGGCAGCTAGCCCTTGAAGCTTTGCCATAATCACATACACACACACACACACACATAGTTGGCAAACTGAGTTTACTTGCCAGCTATGAGATAACTCATTATGATTGCCTTGCCTAAGTAAATACAAGTATTGCTGTTGTAAATGCATGCAATGTTTAAGTGCTTGGCATGCAGGAAGGGACTAATTAATAAACCTTGTGTGCTGAAATGGATCATTTATTTCTCAAAACTATACTGAATGTTCAGTAAACCAGCAATGCATGAGGTTAGAAAAGTGCTTTCTATCCTCATGCATTGCTGGATGTGATAACCCTTTAATGAAAAATAACTTATCATACAAAAAGAGTTGCATGAATGCATAGAAATGGTGGGTATTGTTTATTCAGTTTCGAGTTATCTCGTATTTCCAAGAGCAGAAATATTATTTTATATACCATTGCAAATATACTCGTGTGAATTTAGTTGCTACTAAAAGTAATCTATTGTGTCTATATTTATATAATAAAACAACATAAAATAATTTAAAAGAATAAAAATGCAAATAGGATCTTGGCACATGTAAATAGACAAACTTAAGCAGCTTTGGCAGTGAATATGTTAAAGAACTCTGTGTCCACTAAATTTAATAGCAAGAATCCTGTTCTGCATTGTGAAACTACCTTCCTTGATTTTATAAAATTAGCAGATGATTTGCCAAATATTTCAGAAAACAAAAATATTTCTCTCTAGAACTTGATCAACTTGATCCAGACAGAAATATTTCGCAGATCAGCCACTTGGCTTAGACAGAAATTTGGGGGGGGGGCTGGTGTTATTGTAAATTGTAAATATTTGGGCTGGAGTTTTCAGGTTAAAAGAGGATGGCAAACAAAATTGCCCAGTATTGAAAAATTAACTAAATCTGATTTAGCCTGCTTCTTTCATGGATGCTTTGTTGAAAGTAAATTTAATTATATGGCTGATATTATGACAGAATGTTGAATTCCTGGGAACACTGATAAGATTCTGTAAAGGCTGTGAAATGTTATATATTACAGGGTTCATATGGTACTTAAAAGTACTTTATAGTTCTTAAGATTTTTTGGAAACAGTTTTTGGTCTTTAGAAGTCCTTAATTTCATTCCAAACTGGCAAAAGGTCCTTAATTTTACTCATTTAACATTTCTGTCTTTTTTTTTTTTTTTTTATTTTTTTTTTTACGATTGCTGTTTTGAGTGAAAATTAGTATTTTTGAAGAATATTTTTGACGATGTATTCATAAATATGTATTTGATAGGCTAATGTTAGAATTCTTTCTTACTTAATATAAATGGTGGATACTCAAATATTTAGGCACAAGGCCCTGCCTCAATTGAAGGATAAACATTTTGAAAGAATTAGTTTCCCCCCCTCTTTTTCAAATGAAAAGTTTATAAAAAACTACATCAAAAGCAATTTTTCCTTTTTTGAGATATATGTTCTTTTATTATATGGTGCTAAATTATGTGACTTATCAACATTTTGTCAATTTCAAGAGCAGTTCATAAACAAAATTTTCATTCACAAATTTGCAAAATTTTGACCATTTTTTTTACAAACATAATAATATATCATAAAAATAATGGTAATATATTAAATTTATATTTAAGGGATAAGGTTAAAATAAAGCAATTTTATTTTTTCCTTCCATATTTTAAAGTGACATTGCATTGCATTTTGGTGACTTGGCAATATTTTGATCAGGAAAAATAAAGAAGATAATAAATGTATAAAACACAGTAATTATTGAAAATTTAATTTCATTTGTCTTCTTTTATGTTTTTAATAATAACAGCTTTTTTCCATGTAATTGTTTCTGAATATTTAAATGTGTGTCAGCTTTCTCTTGAAAATTCACTTTACATTTCTCTTTTCTTGTTGCCTTCCTCTTTCTGTCCCAGAAATCTTTTAGGTTTTCGCTCTTACAGAGTTGGTAGAGATAATTTCCCCCCCCCCAGATTTTAGACTTTGCACCTCAGAAGGTCTAAAGGCAAGATTTATAAACTTATAATTTCTAGAAAAATGTGACAAAATAAAAAAGTGTCTTCTTGATATTAACACATAATGGATGTGTCTTATTTTGAATTTGGGTTGGAGTTCTTATCTTTTAGAACAGACAGTGAAAATAAAATTTTTTGAATTTTCTCTTTTTAATCCCAGAAGTCTGCCTCTTAACATGTTCATCTTCCCTTTATTGTATATCTTTCAACTAAACACAAGCATTGGTGTAAGCAAAGAAACTGAAATCTGACAATTTGTTAAAAATATTCATGATATATGTCTTAGTGCACACTTCAGTGCCTGCCTTAAATTCTAAAAATATTACCATCCCTAAATTTTGTTGCTCAGTGCTTCGCTAAGTTCTAAAATTTTGTACCACGCTGGCTCTTGTGCAATCTGTCTGTTTATCATTTCATAATTATTCTCAAGACACGTATTATTAAAAACAAAATTAAATTGGCAGTTTCTTCTATGCATTATAAATACATGCAGTTTTTTAGAATAACAAATATCTATAGTTGAATCTGAAAATTCTAAAATGAAGCAGAAGTTTATTGAGGAAGAACATCAATTACATAAAGAGGGAGAAATTTTTTTTTCAAAAGTATATTGTTGAAACATAACAATTATTGCTACAAAACATAATTGAAAAACATAAAACTGTTGCTACAAAACAATTATGTTAAATATTATTATTAAACCTAACTGCATCATTTAATTATTTGTAATTAACTGCTCACCCCTAGAAGTTACCTCTGCATGTTAAAGTGAGTTATCTTCTTTCCTTAATCATTGTGGAAAATGTAACCCAAAAATGTAAAAATTAACATGAAACTTTATTTCTTACAGCTAATGACACTTAAAATAATACAAAACAACCTATCGTCTCTGGTGCTTCAGTAGCTTATTGGAACTTTATATTAAATACTGTATATTAACTGGGTTATAACTACAGCAAATCTGCACAAAGCTGACACTAACTGGGTCAGACCAAGTGCAGCTAACTTTCCACACTTACCAACCATACCTACATTGGGTGTTTGCATCTGTTCTGATCAACAGCTCTGTCTCCAAGGAAGCAGCTGTGGTGGCAACACTGTTCTGAGCCATACTTCTGTTATGAGTTATGCTGATTATTATTTTATTTCACAATTTAACTTATGCCACTTGACAAACAATTTGCATATACCTGTGGATTGAGCAAGTATGTGAGAAAATGAGGATAAAAGAAAGAATCAATATAAAGCTAACTGTTAGTAAAATTTATATATAAAGCCACCAATTTTCTTTAAAATATGTGGGACTATTGTAAGCATGAAATATAAATGTTTCAAGAAATTTTATAATTTAATGTTAATTGTTTGAAAAAATTATAAAATTAATTTTATTTTTAAATCTCTGTTATAATTAAGCTAAATATTAGATTATAATTGATAATAATACATTCTGCTTACAGATTTATTTTATTCTTACAAATTACAAAAGTGAAGTTTGGGTGTAGATAATTGCTTTGTTTGTACAGTTCCTATTTGCTTGATAGGTCCTTAGTTTTTCCATCCATGGCCGTTAAAAGTCATTAAAAGTACTTAATTTTCATGTGCAGAAGAGTGTACGAACCCTGTATTAGGATTAAATAAAAGTACATGTAAAATTTTTGGATCAGAAAATCTCTCTGAAAGCCTTATTGATAAAATTTTAGGGATAATTTATTGAATAGTCTGGCAGCTTACCCAAATTCTTACATTCCATGAACTATTCTTTTCCTGCTAGTGGTTCTTCATCTCAAATGCAATGTACATGCTTCAATTTCTAATCTAATACTTGTAGGATTTAGCTATCAAGATGTTTTGCTGATCATACTGAATTTTCAGTTGTTAGTAGTGGAAAAAAATAAGTGTAAACACTGCAATTTGTGGAACTTACCCCTTCTCTTGAAGAACAAGCTAGACGTACCAATTATTTTTTTAATGTTCTGAAAGCAAAAAAAGTAAGCAACTTTGTGAAGTAATATAGTGAAATTTTTAAATGTTATACTTCTTGCTTTGCTAATGGAATTGTTTGAAAATTTGTGTGCATGCCTATATTTATGTGTATCACATAAGTATCCAATGAATTATTTGAGACTATTTCATATTTTTTTACTCCAAGTTAGTTTCAGGATTTTTGAAATGGGGTTGCAGTCACCATTGTGAATTTAATTTATGTAAATTGATGAACATTTTCTTCAAATTAAACTGCTAGGTATTATTAACCTTGCTAGGTAAATTAAACTGCCAGATATATTATTTAGTATTTTTCTATTCACTGTGTGATGTGTTTTAAATTGCTGTTATTTTTGGTTAACTGTGCTTGTCATCCCTGGTATTACTGTGGTTAATGGTATTATACTTTTAAAAACTACAGGGGTTTCCATGGCAAATGTATTAAATAATCTGAAATTTATAATGAATAGGGAATAAAAAGTTCTTGCTGCTTAGTTAATATTGGATTCTAGTAATAGGTATGCATGGAGCTGATACCAATTTGTCTTTTAATTTTAAGGGGCTCATTTGCATTACCAGCTGTACATTGAATTAATCTGCTTTTGCAAATGAATTTAAACTCATCATTTAACCTCATAATAGTTGTCAGAAAATTATTCTTCAAATAGCTCATTGTGCTGCAGGCAGAAAAATGTACTTTTTGTCTGTATTTCATAAATATTTACTGATTTTCTATCATGCTTAAAATACTGTTTTATAATTTTGCTGTATGTTTATCATATTTTTGGTGTCTTCTGCCTTCCAGTATCTGCAATTCACATCTTATGACCTTTTTTTCCCCTTTTTTAGACTTTGTGTACTATTGCCTGTGCTGTTTTGAGGTTTCCTTCAGTTGCTGATAACTTCTGGAAAAGGGTAAATTATGAAAATAATTTTTGCACACAGACTTGTATCGTTCTGTACATAATTTTTTAAATTTTATGTATTAATTATTTGATCATGTTTTTAGTTGTTAAGTACTATTACATGTGAGTACATAATACTGTGTTGCTTATGTCAGAAACTTTTCACCTGAATGAATACACTTTCTGTTGTTCAGAGTAAAGAAGCCATCGTAGGACAACACACTTTATGTACATGAATAATGAATAAAAAGAGCACACAGCAAATCATATTGACCATCACGCAGCATATATTATCTCACCATCTCCGTATGCTCGAATGACGGATGTGTCAGGAGAAGAGACAGCTGTGCCAGCATAATTAATAGGCATGTGCATAAGAGAAAAAAGTTCACTTGCCTCTACCCAACACACCCCTCCTGCGAGCAACATTTTTTCAATACAAGAATGAAATACAAACAAACAATATATAACACATTACATTATGAAATTAAGGAAATTATTTTCAATGTATACATTAATTTTTCTTAATTGTTGACACTCTTAGTAAGAAAATTTGCAATCATATTATCAGTTTATGAATATTCCAACTTAATGACATAGTCCTTTATTAAGTCCTTCATAAAATGGAAATATAAGTTCATGTGTCTGGATTTCGTCGAAGATCTTGCACAGTTGATCCACTGGATAGCTGCTTGACTCAAAGCCACTGCACCATTCAAAAATTGTTTACATTTTAATTCTGATAATAAATTTACAATGCATATAATATCCTTACAAATTTCAGAAATAGAAAATAACTCTGCTTCACAAGAAGACAGACTAACACTTCTCTGTTTACGACATTTCCAGGAAATCAATGAATCACCTAGTAAAATAGTACCACCAGAAAATGACTTACCATTTTATGCATTTCCACAGCTAGCATCATAATATGCATTTAAAACTCCAAAATCATTGCTATAGAAATGTTTTTGATTTTTTGTACCTTTTAAATACCTTAATACCTTTTTAGCCAAAATATAATTCCTTTTTTCTGGTACATGATTAAATTGTGACAAATAAGTTTTTATAAATGATATATCAGGACGCGTTCTATTGATTAAATATAAAAGTTCCCCAATTAATTTTTGAATACAAAGTTATATGAAACCTTTATCTGTCCCTTTAATGATAGGTGTTTTTAATTCTTTACAATTTTCTAGATTGTGTTTAGTCAATAAGGATTCAATATATACCATTTTCAAGTTTTTCTATTTGCATTCCCAAAAATTTTGAATTAGTATTTTCATGTAAATCAAATACATTTTTAATTTTAGAAATAGTATTTTCAAGCATTTCTTTATTATTACAGAATACAATCATCAACATACAAACACAACATAAAAATGTTTTTGGTATCATTATAAATGAATATACAATTATCAGATGCTAATTGCACCAGTCCAAGTTTGTCTAATTCAGTTTTTATTTATTTTCATATACCAATTTCTACCTGATTGGGGTAACCCATAAATACTTTTCTTTAATTTACATACTTTTCCTTCTCCAGTCAGTTTTTCATAACCAGGTGGAGGAGGCATATACACATCCTCGTTTAAGTCACTGTACAAGTATGCTGTTTTTGCATCATAAAATTAAACAGTCAAATTTAATTTCGCTGAAAGTGTAAGCAATAATCTAAAACATTCAATGTTTACAACTGGTGAATATGATTCTGTATAATCCTTAATTTTATTTGATTAAACCCAGCTGCTACTAATGGGGCTTTATACTTTTACTTCACCAGAGTGTCCTTCCTTCAAAGTATACACCCACTTTTTACTAATTTTGTTTTTTTCAGCCCTCTCTACTATTTTCTACACTTTGTGTGTATGTAATGAATCTAGTTCATTTTTCATGGAGGATTTCCAGTCATATCTATTAGCACTTTGTTTTGGTTATGAAAAATCATTCGAAACATTACTAATTATATTTGAGGATAGTTGTTTTGATTTGAGCCTCTCAGATCATCTTAATGGTATTTCATTTCCATATTTATTACTTTTT